TTTTTTTTTTGGACAGGGTTTCTCTATGTAGCTCAGGATGGTATCAAACTCCAGATACTTCTGCCTCTGCCTCCATAGTACTTGGATTACAGTGGTGTTTTGGGAAGTAAATTCTTATCCCAGATTCATAGTCTCCCATATTTTTCTCCTTTTATAAGGATGTCTGTAACTTATCTGAAATGTTCTCTTTCTCTGTTGCAGTGTAAGGCACACTTTAACCTTTTCTTTACTAAGAGTTTCCTTGATACCATCCTCTAAATAACTTTTGCTTTTCTTACTGGTAAATGGGACCACTCTTAACATATATTGAAGTTCCACTTATCCTTGTCTATATCCTGTTTCACTTCACTATTTGTTCCTATCACAGAGCCACATTATTAGTCTAGCATTATTTTTGTTACCATGTGGTGCTGATGTAAGATCTTGCAGGGCAAATCTCCTTCCTTGGTTCTTGCTTTTCAAGAATTCTATTTTTCCTTATATGTAAGTTTATGAAGCTCCTTCACATTTTAGTTTTTGTTAAAATTTCCATGTGTTAGACTGCACTGAAACATAGACTTAGAGATTAAATTGACATCTTAACAATATAAAAGTATCCAACCCATGGTATAGGTTTTCATTTATTCTGCTTTCTTTTACAAAAGTTCTTATATAGTTTTAAATTTTTCTTCATAAAGTTCTTACAAGTTGGTGAATTAACTCCTGGATTTGAAGTTTTATTGGCATTCTGCATGGTCTCTTAGTATTTCTGGCTGCAGCTATAAACTATTGATTGATCTTGTACTTGGCAACCTTGTTCAACTAGCTCATTACCTCTAATACTTTGTTGATTCTTTTGGGATTTCTATGTTGATCATATTTGCAAACATGACAAATAGGAGACCTTTAAGGGCTCTTCTCAGTGACTCTCCTGAGTGCACACTGAGTATCTCTTTCTTTCTCCCCTCCAATTCTGCCCATAGTCCATAGAAGATAGGAGAGACTTCCTTTCTTACCTCTGGCTCTTCTCTAATCTCTTTCTCCTGCTGTGGGGTACTGATAGCTGATGGCAGAATTTATTGCTGTTGACTGAATTTTGGAATGATTCCTACTGTTCTGTACAGCCATTTATGGATCCTTTATTGCTTAAAAAGACCCTCTGTGTGGGTGATGCCAAGTAGTGAACCCACACAGGCTTTTGATCAGACTTACTTCTGCCCCAGGGTGTTTCTTCCATTGTAAAGTGCAGAATAGTGAGCTCACATAGCTGCAGAGGTGTGCCATAATGTCCTTTTCCACACTATGTTTCTGACCATAGATGCTGATCTCCCTTCCTTTCCTGGTGCTCTGGTTTGTGGTACAGTGCTCAGGAGCTTGTACCTTCAGATATAATTGAATCCCAGCAGCTGTGGCTAGATTATATTCTGTGTGCCTTCTCATCCCAATAGATTGTTCATGATCCAAATCCTAAGCTGGTGCAATGGCTCAAGACTGTAATCCTAGCTGTTTGGGGGGCAAAAAATGGGGAATCATAAATTGAGGCCAGCAGAAAGTTTGTGAGACTCTATCTAAACCTAAAGCCTGGCATGATATGATACACACCCAACATCCTAGCTGTTAGGTTTTTAAAAGGAGGTAGCCGAGTAAGAACAGCACCAGCACGCACATGGTATTCAGGTAAGGGGTAGGTTTATTCAGTAGACCTGCTGGGACCAGGCAAGGTTTGCACTCCACGTGGCTGGGAAAGAGAGGAAAGAGAGAGGAAAGAGCTAGAGCAGAGAGAGAGCAGAGAGAGCTAGAAAGAAGAGCAAGAGCAAGAGAGCGTCTGGGCCTGGGCTAGGCCTTATGTAGGGTATGGGCAGGGAAAGGTGTGGCCACATCAAATTCAGATGTGACCTCAGCGGATGCAGATGTGACCTCTTCCAGGTGTCCCAGTTGCCTAGGTAACGCAGGTACTGGGTGGAGACTTTGCTGCGAGGAGGGTGGAGTCTGCTTGCCATCCAGGGGTGGACCTTACACTAGCAACACAAGGAAGCACAAATGGGAGGATTATAGTCCAGGCTGGCCCAGGCACAAGACTGTATCTAAAATAACTAATCCAAGCCAGACTCATACTTGTAATCCTAGCTATTCAGGAGGTTGAGCTCTGATGTAGTTTGAAGCCAGCCTGGTTAAGAAAGTCCATGAGAATCTCATTTTCAATTAACCAGTAAAAAAAAAAAAAAAAAAGTCTGAAAGTGGAGCTGTAGCTCAAGTGGTAGAGGTTCAAGTGGTAGAGCACTAGCCTTGTGTAAAGAAGCTCAGGAACAGCACTCAAGCTCTGAGTTCAAGCTCCAGGACCAGAAGGTATGTGTACAGAGTGGCTCAAATGGTAGAAGACCTTTTTAGCAAGGCTTGGGGTTCAAACCTCAGTACTGTTATAAAAAAAATCCAAAATTCTAGCTCCCATCACTGTAATAGTTCTATTCTTGTTATGTGGGTGAAACTTACCTCCAGTGTTTATATGATACAGAGATGTTTCAAAGGAGCATGACTCCAGTGATGACTTCATCCCTCATGGGCTAGGGAGTCATTCAGGACTGGGAATAAAGGCAACCAAGTAGTCTGGGGCCTCTTTTGCTGGTGGCGTCCTGTGAGTTTGCCCGGGGAGCGTACAGTTGGGTGTAGCAGAAAGAGCCAGTGTTTAGCTGGTTCTAACAGAGGACTTTCTTCCAACTATGGACTCAGTGAGCCACACCCAGTCAGCTACTTCTAAGAGTGGTATCTCAGAAGGATCATTTAAATGAGCAATAAAAGCAAATCCCTAAAAGGAACTTCACTAATAGCCTCTTTCAATACACCAGATCTCTGTGAGTTTCTGTGTCTCAATGAGAACAAGCCTTATTTAGAGATTACAAGTAGATTGCCTTCCTTCTTTTGGCCCATTAAAGAGGAGGAGGGGCCGATGAGAATAGGGTGGGAAGAAGCAGAGAAAGGGAGGTGGAGTCCTCAAAGGCAGGAGGGAACATCTGGGCCACTTTATCATCCTTCAGAGTACATTAAGACACAGAGCCTGCTGGGACAGAGAAACTGGCAGCTAACCAGGGATGTGGGATGGGGATGGAATTTAACATTGAGTAAGCTCCGTGGGTTTTAGTTGGCAGTGTGCTCCACCTGATTCAACAACGTGATGGGACTGCTACAACTATTTGATATCTGGAGTTGTTTTTAACAGAAGCTCAGGACATAGAAAGCGGTGGAAGTCTCTTTTTTCTCTGCATTCAGTAGGCTACCCAGTCATTCCTGAGGGTTCAAGACAATCTGGGATGCCTCTTTCAGAGTTCTTCAGCATGCTGGTGAGTGCAGTTGAAACCCTATTATACCAGGGCCTTTAAGGGACAGAGAATGCTTGTTCTGGGTACCATGAATTAGAGATCCCAAGTTCCTAAGGCAGAAACAGAACAGAACAGAACAGAACAGAAGAGGAGATGCAGGGACCTGGATTTTTAACTCCCAAGGATGGAAGAAATTTCCAACAGGCTGATCCAGAATGAAACAGCTACCTTAAGAGAGGTGGTAGTGAGGGCTGGGAAGGTGGCTCAGTGGTAGAGTGCTTGCCTTGTATGCATGAGGTCTTGGGTTCGATTCCTCAGCACCACATAAGCAGAAAAAGCTGGAAGTGGTGCTGTGGTTCAAGTGGTAGAGCGCTAGCCTTGAGCTGAAGAGCTGAGGGACAGTGCCCAGACCCAGAGTTCAGGCCCCATGACCGGCAAAAAAAAAAAAAAAAAAAAAGAGTGGTAGTGAGTTCTGTTACTGAAAGTACTTAATGGAGACCACTTGGTGGAGAGATGTTGTGAGAATAGTTCAAGCAACTGGGAAGGGGTAATATTACATACATACTCATACACGTATATATGTGTGCATATATGTACATATACATATAAAATATATATAAGTTGTAGTTGCCAGAATCAGTGTTTCAAACAGAAGAAAATATTGGGGTATATGGTTTGCCCTCATCTTGGCTCTTTCAGGCACTAATGGACATTTATTTGTTTATCCAACATGTTACCACCATACCACCATTGAGTGGTGAACACTGTAAGGACAGCAGAGCATTTGTGTAGGCCCCACAAGAGTGGATATGGTGGGCGCTAAAGCTCTGTCCTGATCTCACTGGGGGGTGTATGTGTGTGTATGTGTGTGTGTGGGGGTAGGGCTTGAACTCAAGGCCTGGGCCTTTTAGGTGTGTGTGTGTATGTGTGTGTGTGTGTGTGTTGCATTCTACTACTTGAGCCATAGTGCCATCTCCAGCTTTATGGTAGTTAATTGGAGATAAGAGTCTCACAGACTTTTCTTGCTTTGAACCATGATTCTCAGATCTCAGCCTCCTGTGGAGCCAGGGCTCCAGGTGTGAGCCACTGGCGCCCAGGTATGGACCTCATCTTTAAAAGACTCGTTGCCAGCACTGTCTTTCTACGGCACGACAGGGATGCACATCTGTTAGGGGTCACCACTTCCAGGTTTGGTGAGAGGGGGAATGAGGTAGGATAGAAGGCAGCGGAGGAGAGAGTAGGAGAGACACAAACTTGCTCCGCACTCAGATCTACACACAGGCCATTGACTGATGGATCCAACTACACGACCCGCACAGGGTAAGATGCGGTGATCTCCGTCCCCAGGACGCAGGGATGTGACACAGAAAGGCCGGCCAGTCCGGGGCCAGCCTTGGGCTTGAACGAGGACATTGCATCGCGTGGCCTCCAAGGCCCTGCAAGGAAAAGCAGTGGTAGCTCGGCGGCGGCGGCGGCGGCTGATCTTCCGCCAGTCGAGGGGCGCAGGAGCTCAGGGGCGCAGGCGGGAGGCGCGTGAGCGAGCGCCGACGCGTGCGCGGGGCTGAGGCCGAGGCCTGCGCAGCCCAGGCGGCTGCACTGCGCGCGCGCACCGACCCGCGTGGGGCTCCGGCTCCGGCTCCGGCTCCGGCGCGCGGCGGGCGCGGACGCGCCCGGGCCGGGCGAGGTCGGGGGTTCGGCGTGGCGGGAGCTCCGCAGCCGGCAGCGGGACACCAGCGCGGCGGCGGCGGCGGACGGGCTGGCGGGCAGCGCGCTCTCGGCCTCTCCTCCGCGTCCCCGCATCGCCGTGTGCGCGCTCCTCCGGAGAGGACCTGGAGGAAGCAGGTGGGGCGGGGGCTCGGGGCCTCCTGCGGCGCGAGCTGCGGAGTCCCCGTCCGGGAGGGGCTGCCGTGGGGTCCTGGGCGGGGGTCGGGGAGGGGTGGGGACGGCTGGAAGAAGTGTCGCAGAGCCTTTGGGGGCCCCAGAAGCCCGGCGATTGCCTCCCTTGGGCGTCCGATGGCGCTGGCCACCGGGGAGGCCTCCCCGGGGCGGCGCGGCCCACCCGCCCGGGATGTGGGCTTCTGGTTTCCGTTGCTGTTGAGAAGGGTGTCGCTTGGTGTGCGGGACACGCAGGGACCCGGGCCGTAGCAAGGTTCTACAGCCACTGCGGTGACAGGCCGCGGACACCCGGAGTCCCCCGGGCGCGCGTCCCCGCGTGCGCCGGCCCTCGTAGTTTTTCAGACACCTGACTCCCACCGGGCCAGTACGTCGCTCAGAAACCCCAGAAACCCTTTGCCAGGGGTACTTAAAGCTAGATCTGATACCTTCTCTTCCCCGAGATTGATTCCTTAATTCCAAAGCGCCCGCAGGGGACAGGGAAATGGAGAGAACGCATGAGCTTGAGACCTGCCGGGGACGGACGCGCCGTCAGCCTCCGTCCCCGTGGATCAGATCTGCGGCCTTATCGCCCTCCTCTGAACTAGGTCCGAGGTGGTTCACTCCATCCAGAGACCGTATAGGCCGCGCCCGGGGTTTCAGCTCTGCTGAGACATTGTTGGGATGTGGACCAGGGGATGGGCCCAGAGGAACTTGGTCTCTGATCCGAGCTGGCGGTGCCTTTCACACGTTTCTTTGAGATACACTTCCTCCCAGGAGACCTGTGGGACTTCGTCTGTGCTTCGCTTTCGCTTTACGGTCGCGAATCTCCTAAGTTGTCCTGACCACGGAAGCAAGCGCAGGGGCTATGAGATCTGGAACAACTCTGAAGGGAAGGCAGTGGAGGAAACTGTACCAGTTTTTGGCTTTTATAGAATGCAAAGCCATCCTGGTTCTACCTTATTTTGCTAATAGGATGCTTTTGGGGGGGGGGGCGTGTAATGCTTTCATTTGATATTGGTGACCTCGGCTGCAAGATTGGATCTTGAAAAGTACAGTGTTTTCGTTTAGCGCTTGTTTAGCATGTGTTTGAATTTGCCAGATAAAGTCCCATCAGCAAGATCTTTCAAAGAAGTGATCATTATATGGTATCATTGCTTATTACAGCTCTAGTTTTGCAATATATATTTGTGATCTTGAGTTAATGGAATTACCTTTACTATTTTTCCCCTGGTAAAACCTACAAGCATCTAGTTCCTTTCTGGTTTACTGTCCTCTTGTTAATTATTTATAATTACGCTGCTGTGGGTTGGTCTAGTGCAGTAGCCTTTATTTCTTCCTTGTACTGGATATCTCTATTGTTTCTTATCTGGATACTCAAATGGTTTTCCTTCAGCACCATTCAGTAGAACTTCTGTGAGGGAGGAAGTGTTCTGCACTGTGTAATATAATCACACCAGTCTGTCCAGATTGACCTTTGCAGAACTCAAACAGAGACGGAGCACTAGAAGAACGGAATTTTAATTTAAGTAGCCACATGTGTCTAGTGGCTAAGTGATTAAACATCATCATCTATATGTATGTATATATGTATGTATTTTTTTTGTCAGCCACGGGGCTTGAACTCAGAGCCTGGGTGCTGTCCAATCAAGGCTAGTGCTCTACCATTTTGAGCCACAGCTCCACTTCCTATTTATTTATATTTTGAGACAGAGTCTTGCTGTATATACCAGGCTGGCCTCAAACTCAGGATCCTCCTGCCTCAGCCACCTGAGACTAAGGACTTAGTAAAAAGCACTTGAATATTTTCTTTCTTGTGCATTCTAGGCAAGTGCTCTATCACTTGAACTATTTGCCCTGCCCCCCCCCCCAGTAAATATTTGTTGACTGCATAACCAATCTTCTTAAGAGCAGGTTGCATTACCTCAAGGGCCTAGGACTAAATGTCCAATGCTGTTAATACCTGTTTATAGTGATTGAACAGGTGTTTTGTAAGGAACCAGTAAAAGGCTCATTGGACTTATGCTCTAAGTGCTTATTTGGTTCGACTTGCTTTTGAATGGCATGTAAATGAAGACTCATGAAAATAAAGGCTCACATATTTGAATGACTTGAGTAGTGATTGAGCAGATGTTTGTAGGTACTAAATAAAACTATCACTGGAGTTGTGCTTGCTTTTTTTCTTTTTTTTTTTTTTTTAAATGTATTTATTTGGTTAGTCTTGTTACAAAGATACTTTTGCTCAGAAACAAGCTTGGGTGGATAGAGTTAAGATGGATTTCCCATATAATTGGAAGGTTGGGGAATTTTGTACCTGTTATTATAACTGTCAGGGGTGTCTTTACACAGCTAATTAGGGCTGACTTCTCATTGAAGGCTTTGTTGTATAATCAGTTTCCATCAGTTAACCATAGGAAGATTTGGAATAAAAGTATATATTTCACCCAGATCACATTAGCTCTACAAATATTCAATCAAAATTCCAGGTGCTCTGGGTTTTCACATTTATAAATTGCTTTTAGGGAAGGATCCTGATACCATATAAAAATTTATAGAAGTGTGTAGTTTTCTGTAGTGGGAGGAAAAAAATGGTAGATTTTTTTTTTTCCCCTCAAGAAGGAAAAGATATAGGACCAGGAAAAAAATGCCATGAAGACACAAAATAGTGGTTCGCTATATTGGCTGTGTAATATTGTGGCTTCTCTGGGCTTTGAAGTAGCATGGAAGTCCATCTCATTGTGTGAATTATCTATTTTATATCTAGGATTTGAATATTGGAAGTATGTGTAAGATACTAGTATAGCTTCTGTTGTAGCTAATAGTGTAACATGCAGTTATAAAAATGTTTGAAATCATAGATATTTTGAGTTATAATTCAATCTCTAAAATTGTTTCTTTAATTTTTATTGGCATAAATTAATAGTATATACATGCATACTAGTATACTTTTATCAAATTTACCCTTTCTTACTATTTCTTATTCCTCTTTTCCTTTTAGTGGGTTACATTATGAAAGATTCACTTTTAATCTTTAAGGTTCTTAGTAATCTAAAAGGAAATGAAACTGCTTTTGATAGCATATTAATTTTTTTTTGCTAGTTGCTGGTGGCTCATGCCTGTAATTATAGCTACTCAGGAGACTGAGATCTGAGAATAGCAGTTTCAGGCCAGCCTAGACAGGAAAATATATGGGATTCTTATCTCCAAAACTAGTTGGAAGTGATACTGTGGCTCAGTGGTTGAGTGGTAGCTTTGAGAAAAAAAAGCTCAAGGACAGTACCCAAACCCTGAGTTCAAGGCCAGGATACCCTCCCCCCTCCCCCCCGAGTTCAAAGCTTGATTGTAGTCCTATGAATCTTCTTAAAACATTGCTATGAACATGCCACTCCCTTTTGAAACATTTTGTTCCCCAGTGCTCATGGAATCCAGTGGTTTGGCCTTTGATCAGGTATTTAATAACTCCTCAGGGCAGCTTAAAATAAAAGGTGATTCAGCCTTAACTTTTTGCTGCTTTTCCAACCGTACTCCATTTTCAGTCTGCTCTTCCTTTCATGAGCTTCCTTTTCATTTTCTTCCTCAGTCTCTTCCTTCTCAGTCTTGGATAGTCACCTCTTATAATACTTTCTACAGTGTTTCATTTTTTTTTTTTTTTTTTTTTTTTGGGTCCGGTCGTGGGGCTTGAACTCTGGGCCTGGGCGCTGTCCCTCAGCTGTTCAGCTCAAGGCTAGCACTCTACCACTTGAGTCATGGCGCCACTTCTGACTTTTTATCATTTTGCTTATATGGTGCTGAGGAATCGAACCCAGGGCCTCATGCATGCAAAGCAAGTGCTCTACCACTGAGCCACCTTTCCAGCCCTACCGTGTCTCAGTTCTGACTCTTGGAAGATCCCATAGCAAAGTCTCCTGGTCCTTGTATGATGGAACACAACCCATCCTGTGCCATAATTCCATACCTATCAGTGATGTTTTATTATTTCTAGTAGATTATAAGCTATCTACCACACATGGGCTGTCACTTATTTTTGAAATCTTTATAATATCCACAAAGTGATCTCTATTTGGTTCTAACTCCCTCCATCCCTCCTCCCTCCCCCTCCCTTCTTCCCTACGCATGCACACGAGCGTGTGTGTGTGTGTGTGTGTGTGTGTGTGTGTGTATGTGTGTGTGTGTGTACTGGGGTCTGAACTTAGGACTTTCTGTTGCTCTTGCCTTTTGTTCAAGGCTAGCACTCTATCATTTGATCCACAATTCCATTTCTGATTTTTTGCTGGTTAATTGGAAGTAAGAGTCTTTTCTTCTCAGGCTGGCTTTGAACTTCAATCCTCAGATCTCAGCCTCCTGAGTAGCTAGTATTACAGGGATGAGCCATTGGCACCCAGCTTTTAGCTTTGTTTCTTGCTTCTAAAGGAAGCCTGTACTCTCTATAGACCAATTGCTCAAATTTACTGCTAAGCAAGCAGGGCCCAGCAAGTAGAAATCCCACATTAGGAGGAAGCTGTCACAAGAATCATGGGAAAGTTGTCCCTGTGGTGTACCTGACTGGTGGGAACTGACAGCATTTCAAGAAGATCACCACTGCTGTCTTACAGCAGATCCTTCCTGTTTGCCTGTTTATGTGGCAAGGTTAATGTCAGAATGATGGGTACTGAGTGACAAGTAATTTTAGCCTCCAAGAAAAATTGAATACCTTAAAATAGTAACAACTGGACAACATTATTTAGTATGACCCCTATCTGTATGAATGCTTTTTGTACTCCTTGAGAAAAAAAAAGAAAACACCATACTTATTTGTCAGTTTCTATTAGTATTGAGTAAAACATGAATGAAGAAAAAACCAGTGAGCTCAGATGATGGTGGAATGGTAAAGATGACGTCGCTAGTATTGGAGTTAGTTAGCCAAGTATAACAGGACACATCTTAAGTTCTGTCTATCATGGTGTAACTGCCTATTACATTAAACTACCAGTTAACTTAAAAAATCGTCTATCCTTTGCATTGACAATCTAAATTCATGTGGTTTTGTAATAAAATTACCCACATTTACCTAAAACTAGACATAACGATTCATAATGTTTCAAACTTGAAAGATCTGATGCCATAGAACCTATAGTGTTTCATTTCATAGTTTTAGTTTAGTTAGCATTTCTCTGCTTCCTGTATTTCTGAGGTGTAGGCTAGGTTTCTGCTTACATTTACTTTAAATTTATTCTAAGCCTTCTTGTCTTCTGGGGGAAAAAGAGGTAATAGAAGTGCTAAGATTTCTCTATCTTTGACTAAGATCGAGAACACAGCCCCTGGTACATTGCTGAGTGTGTGGCAGTCTCAGTAACTAGCTCTTGTACTTGGGACAGTGGCGTGATTCACTTAGTGAAGTTTTCTAGTATATTAGACATAATGAGAACACTCCAAAGTAGATTACTTTCATGCAAGGAGCATGTGGTATGAGCTACTGCACTGAAAAGGGTGTCAGCATCATGAGAGGAAGATCCAACCACAGGGACATGTGCTTTTCTTTGTGGATGCCACAAAGACAGATTAGGCTAGCATTTTACACATCTGCACCTATGATCAGGCAATAAATGATCACAGCCACTATAGTTTATTACTCTAAACTTTGTCTAGAGAGGATCTATATGGTGTTGACTATAGAAGAAGTACAGTATATGTACATGTCCATGTATACATACATTTGTCATATATATACTATGTATATTATATATATATATATATATATAAATACATATATATGTGTGTGTGTGTGTATGTGGTACTGGGGATCTTACACTTGCTAGGTGGGTGCTCTGCCACTACAGCCATACCTCGGGCCCCTTTGTGTGTTGGTTATTTTCAAGATAAGGTCTCACTTTATGCCCAGGTTGGCCTGGACTGCTGTCTATTTACTTGTGCTTTCTTGTTGCTAGGGATAACAGGCACATGCCACTGTGCCCAGCCATTGTACTTTCCCTGTAGCTGTGACAACAGGTGTGCCCTACCACACTCAGCCATTGCTTGAGATGGAATCTCACAAACTTTTATGCCCAGTTAACCTTGAAGTAAGATCCCCTTGATCACCTCAAGTGCCTAGGATTGCATGTTTGAGCCACTGAACTCAGTTAAATAGTATATGTTTTTGTGCCAGTTCTGGTTATTGAACTCATGGCCTGGGTGCTGATCCTGAGCTTCTTTTACTCAAGGCTCATGCTCTACCATTTGAGCCACAGCTCTATTTCTGGCTGTTTTAGAGTAGTTTATTAGAAATAAGAGTCTCATGATTTTCTTGTCAGGATGGCTTCAAATTGTAATCCTTAGGTCTCAGCCTCTTGTGTAGCTAGGATTACACGTGTGATCCATTGGTGCCTGGCCATTTACATGCTACATATATATTTTTTATTGTAAAAATACTGTACAGAGGGTTACAGTTACATGAGTAAGGTAATGAGTACATTTCCTATTGAGCATTGTTTCCTCTTCCTTTGTTTTTCCCCTACCATCCCTTCCTTCCCACCTCCCCATCTACTCCCCCTCACACACACCAAAGTTGTAAAGTTCATTTTCAACATAGTATCTTGTACATCTCATTGTTACAATGTATCCCTAGTTAAGCATTTTGTTTTTTCCCTTCCTTTCCCCAAATTAGAAAAATGTATATACAAGATGCAGGGTACCAGAATCAAATACAGTGAAAACAGGTTATACCATGGGGGAGGAACATAACCAAGAAACAAAAAAAATCACATAGTAGATTATAAATATGTTAAAAACAATAGCAAGAAAGAAAAAAACCATTTGTATCCCTCTCTTGGGGTTCATCTTATATGGTCATATGTACTTAGCTTTTGACCTTCTCTGCTTGTCCTAAACTTATACTAGTTATTACAAATAAAGGAAACCATGGGACCTGTGTTTCTTTGGGCCTGGCTTACTTCACTTAATATAATTTTTTTTCAAGTCTTTCCACTTCCTAACAAATGGGCGATATCATTCTTTCTGGCGGAGGCATAGAATTCTATTGTATATATGTACCACATTTTCTTGATCCATTCATCTACTGAGGGGCATCTGGGTTGGTTCCATATCTTAGCTATGGTAAATAGTGCTGTTATAAACATAGTTGTCACCATGTATATTTTTAAACAATGGTTTTCTCAGAAGAATTTATTTTTCATCATAAGAGATTCTTTTTTTTTTTTGGTCGGTCATGTGGCTTGAACTCGGCCTGCGCATTGTCCCTGCGCTCTTCAGCTCAAGGCAAGTGCTCTACCGCTTGAGCCATAGCGCCACTTCTGGTTTTCTAGTGGTTTATTGGAGATAAGAGTCTCATGGACTTTCATGCCTGGGCTGGCTTTGAACTGTGATCCTCAGATCTCAGCCTCCTGAGTAGCTAGGATTACAGGTGTAAGCCACTGGTGCCTGGCTCATAAGAGATTCTTGAAGATTAGAATTGGAAATGCTAGTAGGTTAGACATTAGAAGAATTTTAGGAATTTTGAGATTGAAGGCAATCATTCTAAATTGCATAGGCATGCTTTTCTTTTTCTCATTTTAGGTGGTTTTCTAGAAGATGACCATAGAAGACCTTCCAGATTTTCCATTAGAAGGAAATCATTTGGTTGGAAGATACCCATTTTTATTCCCAGGTTCTGAAACACCAGTTATCTTTTCCATTTCTGCAGCACCAATGCCTTCAGACTGCGGTAGGTCAAGTCTCTGTGCTTGTTTTCTGTGAGTGGGAACTTGACTTCTGTCTTATGCCCTCTGTGCATTCACAGCTTTTTCTGAAACCATTTGCTATGTTTTCTTAAAATAAAATCGCTCAACTTCTCCTTTTTGAAAAATACAATTGCTTATTAAAATTTCTGCCTCTTAAGCTAAATGCTTTATTTTTTTACAGTCATCATTTTTATTATGTAAAATGTTAATTTTAAGCACTCTGATGGATTTAGAAGGTTTTATTTTTGGAATGTAATGGTGCTTAGACATGTAGCATTCTTCTGCTATTGATGTATTTATTTTTGTTAAATCTACTGACTTGCTAAAACAGAGACAGGAGGAGTCATTCCCTGGAATGTGAAATTAGATTTGTTCCCATTTAAATTACTCCATTTAATTATCAAATTTAGCAGTATTCTAGTTTTTGTCTATGTTACCTTATTTCCCCAGAACTCTATTCTATCAGAAAGTTGATGAACACAAAGAAACCCAGAGAGTAAATCAGATAAATGGTTACATTTTAATTTATTTAGCATTTTCTAGGCAAAACGTTGGGTCATCATTTCATATTTTATTTGGAGGTATAGGGATAATGCAGTTTAAAAATATTAGTAGTTATTAGAGTAGGGATTCATCTTTTAAAAAATATATCAATTTGAGTAATTCTTCATATCCAAATGTCCAATTGTATTCCAATTCTATAGTTTTCCTGATAGCCATCATGTAAAGTTATTACTTAGAATCTGCAGCATTTACAAAGTTGACTGGGGTTTATTTTCAGATGAAACAAAATCAGTTATGAGGAATAACCTTGAACTAAAACACTCTGTAGCTTGCTTATGAACTTATCTTCTCTTGAATTTGTTTTCTTATTTCTTTTCTTAGATTTTGATTTTGATTAGCAATCATTTTTTTTTTAGTTTTGTTTATCTCACCAAGGCTATGGTGGTCACTTATTAAGATTAGTTTTTCACTATTTGCTGAATAAAGACACAATGAAAGGTAATAATGGATATTATACCCTTTTGTATAACTGAAGTTCCACACTTTCTGTATCCTTGGAGTGACAGATTCTTGGCATCTGTATGACTCTATAGTTCAACTTTCCCTGCTTATCTCCAGTATAAATTCCATCTGCAGAATCTCTGACACCTGGCCATGCAGCCTCTCTCATATCTTCAATAGAGGAGAACTAGTAAAAACCATCAGTTTCATTATTAAAAAGCTTTAGTCATCATAACATTTTTATATATTGAATCCAAATATGTCTCCTCGAAACTTTGACCTGCTGGTACTGGTCTGAGACTGGAATAAACACCACTTCACGTGATAACCTTCTACTGTGTGAAGACAATTAGAACACTTTTCATGGTCTATACTTCCTGTGTCTATGGGTATCTAGTTCCCACTTACATCTAAAATGAGCAAATGGGCTATATTTGGGTTCAGGTTTTACCTTTTCAAACAAATCTGCATTTTTTTTCCTGAAAAATAAATATGTAAGGATATTTGCATAAATGTAGTATGAGATCGTAGTGCTAACACGTACTCTCCCTGATTTAGCTTGTAAATAATATAAGACCATGAGCTTGTCTGATAGAATTCTGGCTAAGAAGGTTCTAGGTTCTTGCAATAAATTGTGGAGACCTTTTCCTAAGCGGCTCAAGTGCAGTATTACAGTGTGGTTATCTTTGCCAGTAAATTAAGTCTCAGGGTCTAATGTGTGGGACATAGTATCTACTTTTGGAATCAGGTCGTAGAAAGCGTCTAGGCCTGGTGGAAATCCACCTTTAAATATTTGCAATAGTGTGTTAGAAATACAAGCACTTTTCAGCTCTACTTAGGACAAGACTAGCAGAATGTAGAATTCCAGGAACCAACGTAGTACAAAAACTTTTACCCAAGTTAACTTTGTATCATGTGATCAGTCAGGTTTTCATCAGGCATTTCTGTAGAAACCAAGTAAAAACAAAGGCCTGTAGTTGAAGCAAATCATGAACTTGTTTTTCAAAGCCAGAAGGCAGCCCATCAAGATCATTTCTAGAGGTGAGCTTGAAACAATTTTAGATGGCAAAAATGAGGATAGTAGTTCCAATCTGATGGATTTCCCTGCCTTCCAATTTGTGTAACACTAGGTAGCAAAGCTAGCTCTGTATGAGTTGTTGCAGTGACTTCTCTGAAACTTAAATCAAGTTGTCCAGCTTCAACTTGGAGGGGTTGGGAAAAGGGCAGTTTTAGGAAATGGAAATGTGAATTGTGAATGTCCTAACAAGATCTGGAAGACTGGAATGAATTCTGGAGGGATGCAGCAGGGGGGCCTGCAAAGAGAAAGAGGGTCCCTTAAATTCAGACAGCAAAACAAAACATTGAAGAACCAAAAATAATTGCAGTGTGATGAAAATTTTAATTATCTTCATCCATCCTTTCAGTCCCCAGCAATAGATGTGAATCTGCTATTCATGCCACTTGTGTTTTGAGAGAGAATATCCAAAACACGCAACACCTTTTTTTTTTTTTTGGCATCTTAGAAATAGTACCCCCATGGACTAGACTATGGCTAAATACTTACCTAGCAAATGCAGCATCCTGGGATTTGATCCCCAGTACCAAAACAAACAATCAAACAAACAAAGACATAAAACCAATACAGTTAAAAAGCAAAAGAAGGGCTGGGAAGGTGGCTCAGTGGGAGAGCACTTGCCTTGCATGCCTGAGGCTCTGGGTTCGATTCCTCAGCACCACATAAGCAAAAAGAAAAAAGCCAGAAGTGGTGCTGTGGCTCAAGTGGTAGAGCGCTAGCCTTGAGCTGAAGAGCTGAGGGACAGCGCCCAGGCCCAGAGTTCAGGCACCACAACCGGACCCCCCCCCCAAAAAAAAAAAAGCAAAAGAAATAGTACCTGATACAGTCAAGGTCTGAGCTTACACACTGCTGTAGAGTTTCATCTAAAATGAGGTGCAGTATGATTCACAGGGACCCCCTCACTCCCTGTTACATCAGCTTGTACATGCCTCCTTTCCCGTGCCCCTGACATTGCTTTTAATAACCCCTGCTTTCACTGCATTTGGTGTTGGTATAATTTGTGGAGGGGAAGGGCAAAAACAAATCATTTAACTAGGGATACAGGTGGACTCATTGCAACAATGAGATGTACAGGTCCTTATGTCAAAACGAACTTTACAACTTTGGTGGGTGTGGGGGGGGGGAGGATCAGGTGGGGGAAGTATGGGAAGGGATGGGAAGGGGAAACAAAGAGGAGGCAACAATGCCTGATAAGAAATGTACTCGTTATCTTGTCCATGTAATTGTAACTCCTCTATACGGTATTCTCACACACACAAAAAAAGAATTGCTGAAGATATACATGTTATTGCATCTAAAAATACTTCTTACTTGAACCTTGTTACATGTAAAACTATCATCAAATTTCATTTACGTCTTTTTTTAAAATTTCAAACAGAGTTTTCTTTCTTTGATCCTAATGATGCCTCATGCCAAGAAATTCTCTTTGATCCCAAAACATCAGTCTCCGAATTATTTGCTGTTTTAAGGCAATGGGTTCCTCAGGTCCAGCAAAACATCGACATTATTGGAAATGAGGTAAACACTTCATACATTATTAGGATTGTTAATGGTATAGATTCTCCCCTGAACCTCCCCCCCCTCCCCAACCTCCTACCTTATGGAAAGGTAGTGTTAAAGGAAAAAGCCCATTAAAATTCTTTGGTTTGTTTCTCTCTTATGTTCTGTACTCCCTATATCTGGGGTCTGATATTGTGTACCATAGGAGCTCTTCTTTGTACACGTCAGTGTTTTTTGTTCTTTTTTTGTGTGCCAATCCTGGGATTTGAACTCAGGGCCTGGGTACTGCCTCTGAGGTTTTTTGTTGTTTCTTTTTTCTCAAGGCTAGTGAAACCTCTTAATTGATCCACAGGTCTACGTCTGGCTTCTCAGTGGTTAATTGGAGAAAAGAGTCCCATGGACTTTCCTACCTGGGCTGGCTTTGAATGGTGATTATCAGATCTCAGCCTCCTGAGTAGCTAGGATTACAGATGTGAGCACTCTACCACTGAGCCACCTTCCCAGCCCTCGAATGTTTTTAAACTAATTTGTAAACCAGGCACTAGTGGCTTAAGCCTGTAATCCTAGCTACTCAAGAGGCTGAGATTTGAAGATCCCAGTTCAGAAACTAGCTGAGGGGGAGAGAAGAAGGGGGAGCAAATTTGAGACACCCTTATCTCTAATTACAAAAATACAGAATTGAGGTGAGGCTCAGTGGTAGAGCGCTTGCCTTGCATGCGCGAGGCCCTGGGTTCGATTCCCCAGCACCACATAAGCAAAAAGAAAAAAAGCCGGAAGTGGCGCTGTGGCTCAAGTGGTAAGCGCTAGCCTTGAGCTGAAGAGCTGAGGGACAGCACCCAGGCCCAGAGTTCAGGCCCCACAACCGGACCCCCCCCCCAAAAAAAAAAATTCGGACTTCAAGAAGAGATTTGATAATTACCACATTAGAACTACACTTTTAAATGATTTGGTTAAATCCTAGGCTTAAATATAATTAAAATTGTTTTTGAGGAAATGTTTCTTGACTAACATGCTTTCATATTGGAGGAATTTTTTTTAAATATTATACCCGTTCACAAAAATTTGCTCATTTTTGGAAGGAGCATATTTGGAGTAGCAATTACTTTGGCATCATCTCAAGAATCTCCTGCCTTCTGATGACAAGCTCAATTTTTATTATTATCGTTGAGTGCTAGGTGGAATACAATTCAGGTAAGGGCTGTTGACAGTGCTGCTATTACTATCTTTCCTGACTGACTAGTCTAATATAGGGCCAGACACCCATGGCTCAGGACTGCAATCCTAGTTACTCAGGAGGCTGAGATCTGAGGATCATTGTTTGAAGTCAGCATGGTCAGCAAAAGCCCATGAGACTTTTTTCTCTAAGTAATTAGCAAAAAGCTGGAAGTGGAAGTGTAGCACAAGTGGTAGAGTACTAGCCTTGAGTAAAAAAGCTTAGGGAGGAAGTGGCGCTGTAGCTCAAGTGGTAGAGCGCTCGCCTTGAGCTGAAGAGCTGAGGGACAGTGCCCAGGCCCAGAGTTCAAGCCCCATGACTGACAAAAAAAAAAAAAAAAAAGCTTAGGGAGAGTGCCCTGGCCCTAAGTGCAAATCCCAATACCAGCACACACACACACACACACACACACACACACACACACACACACACACACATTGTTGTTTTCCCCCAACACACACACACACACACACATTGTTGTTTTCCCCCAAATCCATCATGGGCTGCTAACTTTTGTAAGATAAAATGACAGTGTTGATAATATAAAAATGAAATAAAGACAAACTGTAAGCCCAGATTGTGTGTGTGTGTGTGTGTGAGTGTGCGCGCATGTGTGCACGCACCAGTCCTAAGGCTGGAACCTCGGGCCTGGGCAATGTCCCTATACATTTTTGCTCAAGGGTAGCACTCTACTACTTGAGCCACACCTTTAATTCTAGCTTTTTTTGGTGGTTAATTGGAGATAAGAATCTCATGGGCTTTCCTGCCCAGGTTGACTTTGAACCTTGATTCTCAGATCTTAGCCCTCCAGAGTAACTAGGTTTACAAGCATGAGCCACCAGGGCCAAACTAAACCCAGATATTTAAAAAAGGCACAAAGTTACTTTTCAATTAGTATAATCCTCCGTAACCACATACTACTAGTCTTTATTTCCTTTTGTTTTCAGATTCTGAAAAGAGGCTGTAATGTGAATGACAGAGATGGACTGACAGATATGACTCTTTTACATTATACCTGCAAGTCTGGAGCGCATGGCATTGGTATGTGCTACCCTCTCACTGGCTTCCCTCATCTCCGCTTGTGTGTCACCTCTTGTACACCTGACAGGACCTGGGAGAGCACCCAGACAACAGTACTAACATTGCCTGGGAGGAGAAGATTCAATGAATCCCTGGCAAACCGTGTTTCTTTCCTTCAGGGAAGACTTCATAACCTCGTGGCACCTCTCAAATTTTGTGCAGTAGGCTTCATATCTAATTGCTCACTAGTTGAGAGTAATTAGTAAGGTCAATCCAAGGTCAGTTTTCCAGGCATAGTAATTCCTACAGACCTCAGGCTTTTGGAGGTCTTGTCTGAGGTTCATCCTTCTTAAGAAACCTGTTTGATAACGTATATGTATTTCCCTAAACTGATTTCCCAAACTGACACTCTTTCATGCTTTACTATTTTGTAACCCTGCCTCTCTTACTTACTAGATAGTGTTGCTATACTGTTTCAGTAGTCTAGTATAAAATGTCTTAAACTATAAGTGGTAAAGAATTGTTTTTCCCATAGTCTGTCAGAGACTGACCCCTCCTATAAGATAAAATAAAAATTTTTGTAATATGGAAATGAAATAGAATATAAACCCAGATATTTTTATTTTATTTATTTATTTATTTTTTGGGTCCAGTCGTGGGGCCTGAACTCTCGCTGTCTCTCAGCTCTTCTGCTCAAGGCAAGCGCTCTACCACTGATCCACCTTCCTAGCCCCAAACCCAGATATTTTTAAAAGGCATAACATTGTTTCAATTAGTATAATCACAGGAAACATTAAAGAGGGAAAATGAAAAAGCCTTAGAAGATTTAACAGATTACAGTTTAGATGTCAGTGTCCACAGAACCAGTGTAAGCAGCACTAGTCTGTGTGGTTTATAATGGCTTTAGTATTTCTTTTCTTTCTTTCTTTTTTAAAGAAAATGTATCTTTAGCTACTTGACAAAAGGTTTCAATTCAACATGTCAGTTTATGAGTACAAAGCATCTTTACCAATAATATGATATTCCAGTTGAACTAATTTTCTTCTCCTCCTCCTCCTCCTCCTCCTCCTCCTCTCTCCTCCTCCTCTCTCCTCCTCCTCTTCCTCTCTTTTTGTGCCAGTACTAGGGTTTGGACTCAGGACCTCAGGTCTTGCAGTTTATCACTTGAGCTTTACCTCCACATCCAAATTTTGGCTAGTTAATTGGAGATTAGAGTCTCTAGGACTTGTTTGCCTGGACTGGTTTCAAACCTAGATCCTCACATCTCAGCCCTCTAAGCAACTAAGATTACAGGTGTGAGCCACCAATGCCCAGTTTCAACCAGTTTCTTATTGTATTTTTAGGTTGTTCCAAAAGTTTATTCTTAAAGAACAGTGAGGTGACATATCTTTATGGCAAAGGGCTTTCTTCATATTTCTGAGCATAATTATTGTCTCTGAATAGCTCCTGAATGTAAGCTTGAGATGTAAATGTAGATTCAGTGTGTTGTTTGCTTTGCCATTTTAAGTGAGGTGGTAGACCCATTGTGCTGAAGAAAAGTAATTTCGGCCATCTTCTTTAGGTGATGTTGAGACGGCGGTGAAGTTTGCAGCTCAGCTCATTGATCTGGGAGCAGATGTAAGCTTGCGAAGCCGCTGGACAAACATGAATGCTTTGCACTATGCTGCGTATTTTGATGTTCCAGAACTTATAAGCCTGATTTTGAAGACATCAAAACCAAAAGGCAAGTGCTGTCTGATCACTGTTTGATAGTATTCATGGGAAGATATTGGTACAGAAGTCATGAAATCAAGGTTTTTCTTTCTAATAAGTCATCTCAGATGCATTCCTAAGACCCCATTTTATTTCTGAGATAGTTGAAATTTTCTGTGTTGAAGACTGAGTATTTCACAAAAGGCTTAGAACAAAGTGACAAAATGAAAAGATTGTTCTCTGGGTTTTCTGCAGTCCTCTGGAATGGCATGGAGTTTTATGTGAAATTGATTTTGTGTGCTTTATAATTCTTTTGTCTTGTTTGGGTAGGCCAGTCACAGAGCAATAAAGCCTGCAAAGCTAGGCATTGAAATAGTCAAGCACATTTCTAATAGGTGGCATTCACTTCTGAAATTCTGTGATTCAACTTCAAGGAAACAATTTTACATCTTTTTTCCCCCCTTCTTATCTTGATGACAAAATCCTAAAATTGATGTCTAACTCCTAGTTCTGGAGTTGAGGGAGGGGGTCACTTTTCTTTTGAGAAATAGATAAGAGCAAATGAATAGCATTCCTTAAAGTTAAAGAGAGTGTACAGCCTTGTCAGAATGATAAAAGACATGTTTTAGAGATTCAGCAGTGTGACACATTCAATAGTGTGACACATTCAAATATGTCAGAATGTTAGTGTCTAAAACTCTAATTTGCCTAATTGTCCTTTTTCCTTTATAAAAGCCTATTGTTCCCCAGCATCGTTATAAATGATGTTGGGAAGAAAAGCTTCAATTCCTGGTACTATGTCTTTAGTAATACAAGAGCATCTGTGTTGAGCAGGTCTGGGTTGCTTGTAGTAAATTGTGGATAGAGCATTTGGGAATGGTATCATGTAGATTAAGTGAGCACTTGGTGGAATTAGAGGTACATTAAATTCTTGTTAAAGAAAACTTTTGAAGGAGGATTCTCAAGTCTGGAGGATTTCCTGGGTTTAAGTATAATACAATGATTTATTGAAAGTTATTAAAATACCCTTATAATTGAGAGATTTTCCCCTTTTATATTTTGAAGTCAAAGTCCATTTGTTAGAGTGGAATGGAGCAGTATGCGTCAGTGTTTTTATGCTTAATTACTCTAATTGGGTTGAGGATTTAGCACTATGTTACTGAGTAGGGGTTGGAAAACTTTTTTTTTTCTATGAGGGGCCAGATAGTAAATAAGCATTGTGGACTTTGCAGACCTTATGGTCTCTGTCCCTGAGTGAGAGGGTGTGAGTTCCAGTAACACTGGAAACAGGAGGAGTGGCCCATAGGTTACAGTTTGTGGATTCCCCACTTGAACCTTGGTAAACCTTGCCGTGGTAAACAAAGATAGTTACTTTTATAATTATGAATCATTGCTATTCATTGCTGTGTGTGTGTGTGTGTGTATGTGTGTGTGTGTATGTGTGTGTGGTGGAGTTTCAACTCAGGACTTGGGACTGTCTTTGAGCTTCTTTTGCTCAAGGCTAGTGCTCTACCACTTGAGTCAGAACTGCACTTTCTGGCTACTTTATTTCTGGTAGTTTGTTAGAGTCAAGAGTCTCACAGACTGGGCTGGTTTTGAACCTTAGTCCTCAGATCTCAGTCTTCTGAGTAGCTGGGATGAAAAGCATGAACCACTGGCACTGGATCATTCAGTGCTTTTTAATATGACTTAGTTTGTGATGGCTGGAAAACCCAGAATGGGATCATTACATTTTACAATATATTATTGTATTACTGTATTATTTTATTTTATTGGTGGATTATTTGACCCAGATTGAAATACAAAGATTATGTTCCAAGGTGAAATAGTACTTCTGGTGGGTTGATTTAAGTCCTATAAATGGCTGAATGTACTCTTCTCCAAACTAACCCCCACCTCCTTTGCAATTGCAATAACTAAGTTTAAGAATTTCTTTAATACAACTTAATATATTTTTGTTGTCAACACTGTTCTTAAGGCTTCTATAATGTTAATCCTTCCTAGCCTTTTGATTTTCTCTTTCTTGGTCTCTGTTCCATTTAAATTTTACTAGGATTTTTTTGTTCTGTATATTTAAAAATTATCAAAAATTATCAATAACTTCTTTACCATAATTTATGAGTTTATGATTACCATATAGCACAAATTGTTAAGGGAACAATGTGTTCTATTGTTATTCTATTATTGTGTTAACCAATGTTTATATCTTTATGATTTAATTTTTACAGTTTAACATTTAATACATCAGGGATTTACTTTTTGTTTCAATTGTTTCTAAATATGTAGACTTTTCTATTCCAAATTATCTATCTATCTGTCTGTCTGTCTGTCTGTCTGTCTGTCCTGTTTGTCTGTCTGTGTACCTAATGCTTATACTGGTACTTGAACTCAGGGCCTGGGTGCAGTCACTTAGCTTTTTCACTCAAGGTTTGTGTCTGCTACCTGGGCCACACCTCTACTTTCAGCATTTTGGTGGCTAATTTGGAGATAAGAGTTTCATAGACTTTTTTATCCTGGCTATCTTCAAACCTTGATCCTCAGAGCTCAACTTCCTGAGAGGCTAAGATCACAAGGGTGAGACACTGGTGCCCAACTAACTTTCCTATTTATTGTATTACATATCAAAGAAGTTCATTAATGTGCTTGTGATGTTTAATTGCAGATGTGGATGCCACTTGCAGTGACTTTAGCTTTGGGACAGCTTTGCATATTGCATCATATAACTTGTGTGCAGGAGCCGTGAAGTGCTTGCTAGAGCATGGAGCCAACCCTGCATTCAGGGTAAGACGGGGAAGGAGAAGAAGTGTGTTATATTCTCTCCCAGTAAACTTGAATCTGCATACTATTAATAGAAGAGCCTTTAGGTAGATGGCCAGTAATTTACCAGATATGAAAAGCATCAAGAATGGGATATATAGAACTTGCAAAGAGATAAAACGAGTTTGATGGTATTGTCTGAAATAAATTTAAGCCACACAATGAGGGTCAGCCCTCATTGCCACATTCGGGAAAGCAAAATCTTTCTTAAAGTGTTATTCATTATCTTTGAACTTAAGTATCTTTCATTTAGCTTTTTGATATGTTTATGGAAAGTTAGCTACCAAATACAACTACATCTATTAAAGTTACTTGTATATTAAATAATACCTGATATTCTTTGAAAAGGAAACATATGCCAAAAGAATAAAAGTTAAATGCAAAGTAAAAAGAAATGTACATCTAAGAATGGAGCAAACCATGCCAGGTATCAGTTGCTCACACCTGTAATCCTAGTTACTCAGGAGGCTGAGATCTGAGGATCGTTGTTCAAAGCCAGCTTGGGCAGGAAAATCTGTAAGACTTTTATCTCCAATTAAACACCAAAAACCTGGAAATAGAGCTGTGGCTCAAGTAGTAGAGTGCTAGCCTTGAGAAAAATAGCTCAGGGACACTGCCCAGGCGTTGTCAAAGCCCTAGGACTGGAGCATGTGCAGACACACACACACACACACACATACACACACACCCCAAACCCCAAAAGAAACCAAACAAAAACCAAGTCAACTTTATTCACAGTTGACATGTGACTTGGCAAATGACCTTGGATTATACTTAGGCAGCCACTGTGTCAGAAAGAAGGGCAGTTCCATCAATAGTCACGAGGAAGCTTTTCTTTTCTTTTTTTTTTTTTTTTTTAAAATTTTATTTTATTTTATTTGAGAACATACTGTACAGAGGGGTTACAATTACATGGGCAGGATAATGCATACATTTCTTACCAAGCATTGCAGCCTCCTCCTTTGTTTACCCTTCACCTCCCTTCCCAGCCTCCCCCCTCCCCCCCCACCCAGTCATACCCCCTCTCCCCCCCACCACCGACATTGTAAAGCTGGTTTTGACATGACATTTTGTACTTCTCATTGTTGCAACAGGTTCACCTGAATCCTTAAACGACTTGTTTGTCCCCATCTCCTCCACATGTTATACTGACATCAAATATAGTGAAAGCGGGGGTTACACTGTGGGGGAGGGACATACAAAGCAACAAAGAAATAATCTTATAAATGCGTTAGAAACACATGCATGAAAGAAACAAAAACATTAAAATACATATTTGAGGGTTCGTTTTCCTAACATCACATTCTCTGACTTTTTCCGCTTGACTCATACCTATACTAGATATTGCAAATAAGGGAAACCATGGGACCTATGTTTCTTTGGGCCTGGCTTACTTCACTTAATATAATTTTTTCCAAGCCTTTCCATTTCCTAACAAATGGGGAAATGTCATTCTTTCTGATGGAGGCATAGAATTCCATTGTGTATATATACCACATCTTCTTGATCCATTCATCTACTGAGGGGCATCTGGGCTGGTTCCATATCTTAGCTATGGTAAATAATGCTGCAATAAACATAGTTGTGCTGGTAGCTTTAGTGTGGCCTTGTTTGTGATCATTTGGGTAAATGCCCAAAAGTGGGATTGCTGGGTCATTGGGGAGCTCTATGTGGAGTCTTTTGAGGAACCTCCATACTGCTTTCCAAAGTGGTTGAACAAGTTTACATTCCCACCAACAATGAAGTAAGGTTCCTTTCTGTCCACATCCCCTCCAGCATCTGTTGTTGTTAGAGTTCTTGATTTTTGCTGTTCTAACTGGAGTGAGGTGATATCTCAATGTTGTTTTGATTTGCATTTCTTTTATGGCTAGGGATGTTGAACATTTCTTCATGTGTCTATTGGCCATCCTTCTTTCTTCTTCAGAGAAGCTTCTCTTTAAGTCTTTCGCCCACTTACTTATTGGGCAGTTGTTTCTTTGAGGATTTGTTGTTGGGTGGTTTAATTTTTTGAGTTCCAAGTATATTTTAGCTATGAGACCCTTGTCCGTTGTTTGGCTAGTAAAGATCTTCTCCCAGTCCGTGGGCTTTCTATTGATCTTGCTAGCTATGTCATTTGCCCTGCAGAAGCTCTGCAACCTTATACAATCCCATTTGTCCAACCTTTCTTTGATTTGTTGTGTTTCCGGGTCTCTATTCAGGAAATTTCGGCCTGAGCCAAGGAGACCCAGGGTTTACGAGGAAGCTTTTCATTGTTGTTCTTTTTGCTTCATTTTATTTGTTTATTTGTGCAGTAGTGGGGCTTGGACTCAGGGCCTAGACACTGTGCCTTAATTTTTTTTTTTTTTGCACACATTACTACTTGAGCCACAACTCCTCTTTTGGCTCTTTTGTGGTTAACTAGAGATGAGTCTTGTGGACTTTCCTGCCTGGGCTAGCTTTGAGCTGGGATCCTCAGAGCTCAGCCTCTGAATAGCTAGGATTACAGGCGTGAGCCACCAATACCTTGTTTTGCTCTTCATTTTCTTTTCTATGGTATCTTTATTGCCTCCCACAGTAACTTGGCATAGTGTTCACTAAATATTTTAAATAAACGATGAATATATTTAACTTAAAATTCCTCCACAAAAGATGTTATATACCATCTAGGAGTCTTAAGGAATTAAGAGCTGAATACTTTCTTGTCTTTACTCTAGAATGACAAAGGACAGATCCCTGTGGACGTTGTTCCGGACCCCGTGGATATGCCCTTAGAAATGGCCGATGCAGCTGCCACTGCGAAGGAAATCAAACAGATGCTCTTAGACGCCGTGCCACTGTGCTACACTGCCCCGAAGGCCATGTTTCCAAGCCATGATCACAGCACCAGCAAGGCCATGCTGACATCCCTTGGCCTGAAGTTGGGGGACCGTGTCGTCATTGCAGGACAGAAGGTACGGAAACTACAGGCCTGAGCTACCAGTGTCCAGGGCCCAGCGTCTGGGGCAAATCATTCTTTCCCCACATATTTCTTTTATTTTGTATTAAATACAAACAATATTATGAAAAGATTATTTTTTGTATTTCTTTATTAAGGATGAAGTCAGATTATTTTATTTGTAACGGTATTATTATTATTATTATTGTCTTTCCTTTTTTGGTAGTGGGGATTGAGCTAGGATGTTGCACTTGCTAGGCAAGTCACTGAGCTACATCCCATACATATATATATACTATATTATATATATATATATATATATATATATACATATATGTATATATACAGTAAAGATACTGTGCAGAAGGGTTACAGTTCCATGAGTAAGGTAATGAGTACATTTCCTATGGAGCATTGTTACCCCCTCCTTTGTTTTTTCCCTACTATCCCTTCCCTTCCCACCTCCCCATCTCCTCCCTCCCCCCCTGCAAGTGGTAAAGTTTGTTTTCAACACAGTGTCTTGTATATCTCATTGTTGTTACAATGGGTCAATCTGTATCCTTGTTTCAGCATTTTGTTATTTCCCTTCCTTTCCCCAAATTAGAAAAATGTATATACAAGATGCAGGTACTTGGAATCAAACACAATGTGAAAACATGGGTTATACCATGGGGGAAGAACATATGAAAGAAACAAAAATATCACATAGTACATTATAAGTACATTAAAAACAACAGCAACAAAGATAAAACCATTTGTGTCCCTATCTTGGGGGTCATTTCATATCATCTTATATGGTCATATGTACATAGCTTTTGCTTTTTCTGATTGTCTGGTAAGGTTATCCTAGACATATACTAGTTATTGCAAATAAGGGAAACCAAGGGACCTGTGTTTCTTTGGGCCTGGCTTACTTCACTTAACATATTTTTTTTCCAAGTCTTTCCATTCCTAACAAATGGGGTAGTGTCATTCTTTCTCATGGAGACACAGAATTCCATTATATATATATATATATATACCACATTTTCTTCATCCATTTATCTACTGAGGGTTCCCTTTTCCACCCCAAGTTTTAAATGGATATTTAAAAATAGAACAAGAGAAATAACACTTGTTCTTTTCTATTAGAAGCTTAAAAGTTTGCTCAAATACATTAATATCTCGATATAATAATGCTTTTATCATTTAAATCACCTAATATGATTGATTATATTAAAGGAATTCATGATATTAAAACAACTTCAAATTCCTGAAATAAAATCTACATGAATATATATTCTTTGAATGTAATTTTCTTATGAATTTATAAATAAAATTTGTTTTTTAAAATAAGGTATAGTAACTACGATCCCTAAAGTGAAATCCTCATTCCCTAACTCTTGTCCAAAGGTAGGGCCACATGGTCACAGCTTTGAGGTTTAGAAAAAAGGTTCAACGTGTAGTAGAAAGATCCTTGGTTGGAAATGTGAACTTCAGATGTGCATTTACTATAAAGTACCATTAAGGTTATAAACTATTTGAATAGAGAGCGGTTGATGTTTTTCTTCTTATTTTTCTGCTTTTCATTAAAAAAAAATCTTTACTCACTTTTTGCTGATTTTGAGTGTGTGTTTATTGATTGATTGGTGAAGGGGCTTGAACTCAGGGCCTGGGCGCTGTCCCTGAGTTTTTTCCCTCAAAGCTAGTGTTCTACCATTTGGAGTTACAGTGCCACTTCTGGTTTTCTGGTGATTAATTGGAGATAAGAGTCTCAGGGACTTTCCTGCCCCAACTGGCTTTAAATGGTGATCCCCAGATCTCAGCCTCCTGAGTAACTAGGATTACAGGTATAGCCTCCAGTGCCTGGCATTACTTTATGGAATTTTAGGATGGAAGTCTAGATCACCAGTTTGCGATAGCCATCTTAAACACTATCATTTGTTGCTATAAGTTTCTCTCTAAGCTTTGCATTTGTTGCATCCCACAAATTTTATAGTATATTATCCTTCAGATTTGCATTTACTATAAAGTACCATTAAGGTTATAAACTATTTGAATAGAGAGTGGTTGATGTTTTTCTTCTTATTTTTCTACTTTTCATTAAAAAAATCCTTACTCACTTTTTGCTGATTTTGAGTGTGTGTTTATTGATTGAATATTTATTGATCAGAATACTTTCTAGATTACTTTGTAGTTATTTTTTTTCCTCCTTTGCCTATGATTATTTATTTATTTAGTTGGGGGCTTGAACTCTGGGCCTGGGTGTTGTCCCTGAGCTCTTCAGCTCAAGGCTAGCACTACCACTTGAGTCACAGCACCACTTCCAGTTTTCTGGTAGTTAATTAGAGATAAGTATCTCACAGATTTTCCTGCCCAGGCTGGCTTTGAACCGTGATCCTCATATCTCAGCCTCCTGAGTAACTAGGCATGAGCCACTGGCGCCTGGCTTTGCCTATGATTTATTTAAGGGTACATCTTTTCATTTTCAAATATTTGGGAGATTTCTGTGTATTTTTCCTGTTAGTGATTTCTAGTCTAATTCTATTATGGTATGACAACATATAGTTGTATGTTTTACATTTATATTCTTCTGCTTTGGGTGAAATGGTCAGTAAATGTCAGTAAAGTCAACTTGGTTAATAGATGGCTTAGTTTTTCTACAGTCTTACTGATCTTCTAGCCCATTTAGTCTGTTTCTCACTGAGAGAGGCGAGTAAAGTCTCCGAATACAATGTGGATTCCTCCCTTTCAGTTCTATTGATAAAGAACTTGTTTTGAAGGTCACTTGTTGGGTTCATACACATGTAGGATAATTATGTCTTCTTAGTGAATTGGCTCTGTCATTATTTGATATCTCCTTTTTATCTATGGTAATGTTCCTTATTCCAAGGTATGCTTTGAGTTTTTTAAAAACTTCTGTGATAAAGTTGCCAAAAGCAAGACACTTAGAATCATTCATATTAAAGCTTCTCTTGACCTGTGTTTTCTTTAGATTGGTACATTAAGATTCTGTGGAACAACTGAATTTGCAAATGGCCAGTGGGCTGGCATTGAATTGGATGAGCCAGAAGGCAAAAATAATGGAAGTGTTGGAAAAGTCCAGTACTTCAAATGTGCCCCCAAGTATGGTAAGATGGATACTATGTAACTAAATACAAATTAAAGAAGCAAAATCAAATTTTATTCTTTCATAGTTTCTTTATTTTTGGTGGTGCTAAGGATTAAACCCAGGGCCTGGTATATACCAAGCACATTCTAACCCTGAGCTACTTTCCTGGTCTGTAAGATATTACAGTTTTTTTTTTTTTTTTCCGGTAGTGGGACTTGAACTCTGGGCCTGGGAGCTGTCCCTCAGCTCTTCAGCTCAAGGCTAGCGCTCTACCACTTGAGCCACAGCACCACTTCTGGTTTTCTGGTGGTTTATTGAAGATAAAAGTTTCATGGACTTTCCTGCCTGGGCTGGCTTTGAACTGCAATCCTCAGATCTCAGCCCCCTGAGTAGCTAGGATTACAGGTGTGAGCCACCAGCACCTGGCTATCTTACAGTTTTTAAATAAAATGTGTCCCTTGTTTCTCAGGAGGTGAGTGAAGGGGCCTGTAGAACCAGGGGAAGATTTTTCCTAAACATCGGCGATGGCATAGCACATTTATTCACACTGGTAAGAATGATAGAAAGTAGAAACATGGACAGTGCAGGAAAGGGAAATTCATAGGAGGAAAGTCCTTGAGAAACTAGAAGGGTAGAATTCCACCTGAGAGATTGTCTCCCATTGTGCCAGTCCCAGCTCACCCTCCCAAAAGAGAAACGTGGGAAGACCACATGACTCTCTCTCTTTCTGTTAATCTCCCTCTCCATCCCCCCCCCCCCTCCCTTGCTCTTTCTTTCTCTTTGTGCCAGTCCTAGGGCTTAAAATGAGGACCTGAGCACTGTCTTTGAACTTTTTTGTTGAAAGCTAATGCTTTACCACTTGAGCCACATTTCTACTTTGGCTTTTTGCTGCTTAATTGGAGATTTGAATCTCATGGACTTTCCTACCCAGGCTGGCTTTCAACTGAAATCCTCAAACCTCAGCCTCCTGTGTAGCTAGGATCACAGGCAACCACCAGCAGCCTGCATGATCCTCTTTTGACTTCCTATTTTGTCAGAAAATAAGAAGGGAGGTCATTGCTGATGTCAGGAAAGAGGCAGGTCGTTAGAAGTTAAAGAGAAAGAAGATTGGAGATGCAGAGGGAGGAGAGGGCAGGTAGAAGCTGGCTGAGTGTGTGTGTGTGTGTGTGTGTGTGTGTGTGTGGTGTGTGTGGGGGCGGTTGCAGTCATAGACTTAGGGTACCAAGTGTGTAAGGCCTGCTGCTTTTCTCCAGTGGTGTTAAAGGGGGTTAATATAGGTGTTGGTTTCACCAAGGTTATTATTTTCTTAAACATGCCACAGAAGGAAGTGGGCAAAGTGAGGAAGGGATTAGAAGATGAATGGTGGGATGTAAGGTGGCCTGGGAGGGAAGTGTGAGGTCACACATGGGGAGTTGAACCAGGAGATCATGATGACATCAGTCGTCATTTCTGATGATGAAATCGGTCATTTGTGATGCAATGCTGAGTCAGGTAGGGGCAGGCAGGTTGGGATGTTCTCAGCAGTAAAATCTGGAGTTGACCGTGTGGGTGGCCCGGGTTCTCACAGTGTGAGATTGGGACAAGGTGTATTGAGACCTCATAAGCACCTGACCAATGCTAGCTGCTGGCCAACGGTTACAAACTCACCTCAATGATTGACTTCTTCCTGACACATGTCCCTCATGTAGGATGGAGTTTAACTTGAAAAGCATTGTTTATAAAATGTCCATGCCTTAAGGGGTGAAAAGCATGTAAAAGAAGAAATGAGTGAAGTGGTGCTGTGGCTCAAGTGGTAGAGCACTCACTTTGAGCTGAAGAGCTCAGGGACAGCATCCAGGTCCTGACAGCATCCAGCCCCACAACTGACCAAAAAAAAAAAAAAAGAAGAAACAAGAAAATGACACTTGTACATTAATTTTTTTCAGAATTTGGATTATGTATGCAGAAGTTTTCTATTCTACATTTTTACATGGCATATAATTATGATTTTCCCCAAATATTGAAATGGTTTTTGAACATGTGACCTTAATGGCTCCATTTCCTTTAACTTTTATCAGTTTAACAGGTGAAAATGTCTGTGTTTGGATTCCTATTTTTTCACATCGTGGGGAGAGAGAAGGCTAAAATGTTTTGCTGTTCTACCATTTGTATGTGGTATTGGGGTACTTGTCTGTTCATAATATTCATTAAAATTAAAATATTAGTGCTTTGAAAACTGTTCAGAGTTTGAAAATATTCATATTTAAGATATTAGCTCCAATATTTATTATAGATGTGTTTTTGTATTTTGACATTGGCCTTTGAACTTCATTTGCAGTGTTTTGGGATGCAGTTTCATATAGTTGAATGACTTTTCCTTTATAAATTTTTAATGGGATTGGGGTTTGATCTCAGCATCTTGAGCTTACTAAACAGATGCTCCACCATTTGAGCTATGCCTACTGCCCTTTTGAGCTCCAGTTAATTTTTTTTGTTGTTGTTGTTTTCTTTTTTCGTCAGTCATGGGGCTTGAATTCCAGGCTTGGGCGCTATCCCTGTGCTCTTCAGCTCAAGGCAAGTGCTCTACCACTTGAGCCACAGCACTACCCCCTCCAGTTAATTTTTAATAAAGTCTTCTGTTTTTGCCTGGATTGGCCTTGAACCAGGATCCTCCCATTCTTTACTTAATAAGCAACTGGGATTATCAGTGTGAGTCACTGCTCTTGAATTTATCAATTATTATATTGCTTTCATACTTTGATAGATTTCCTAGTCCAAGAAGGTTTTTTTTTTTTTTTTTTTTGAATTGGTCAGTCATGGAGCTTGAACTCTGGACCTGTGCTCTTCAGCTAAAGGAAGTGCTCTGCTGCTTGAGCCACAGCGCCACTTCCAGTTTTCTAGTAGTTAATTGGAGACATTCCTGCCTTTCAACTGTAATCCTCAGATCTCAGCCTCCTGAGTAGCTAGGATTACAGGCATGAGCCACCAGCTCTTGGCATTATAGGCATCTTATAATAAATATTAATTCTTGATGGTAATATTATTTTTATGTTTAAAAAATAATTACCAAAGTAAATACATGCAACTAATCTGATAAGTCAAATTGTGTACTGTGGCTTGTTAAAATAAAACCATTTTCTTTGTTTTCTGAAGCTTGTTTTTAGAGGCAAGAACTTTTTCAACTTTGTCAGCTGAATCTATGATATTAATATCTGTGTTTATAATAAAAAAATTTATATGTACTTTTCTTGATTTTTTTCCCCCATCTTAGATATTTACTGACTTTATACCCTGAAGAGAAAAGATTTAGAGCTCTTACTTTTCTAAATCAGTTATTTCTTGGTTTGCTTAGTTCTTTGGTGGAGTACTTCCTTCAGTAGCTTTCTGACAGAGGACTCATAGGAGGTAAAATGTTTTGAGACCCTCCATTATAAAAAGATATTTATTTCTACCTTGCACTTGATACAGTCCTTGGGGTTGGAGTACATATTCCTGTAGTGATATGAAGGTGATCCTCCACATCCACTGAGTTCCTCTAAGAGTTAGTAACCCCCTAAAATTCCTTATCCCCCCTACCCCTGTAGAAGAAGGGTTCTATAAACATCTGGATTATGAATATGGGTAATCAAACTCTTGTGTGATGGTCCCCAGAGCTGCGATTTCCCCTTTTTACACATTAAATATATTTATGTAACTTTACTTTGAAAAACAAGAATTATGAAGGTGCAAAGCTTGCCTCAGGTAGAGTTTAACGAACTTTCTGGAATGGGCTAGATGGTAAGTGATTTCTGGGCTCGGTAGCCTCTGTGGAGACTGTTCATCTCTGCTGTTAGAATAAACAGCCAGACAACTTGGAAAGAAGTGGGCGTGGCTATGGGCAGAGGACAGAAGTTTGGACCTGAATTTGTCAGCTGCTTCTTGAGCTTTCAGTGCAGCTGTTCAGAAGTTTCAAAATCTGGCTTAACTCTTTGACTTTTTTTTTTTTTTTTTAACTTGAACTCAGGGCCTCAAGCTTTTGTTTAGGATTTTTTTTTCTCATGGCCGGCACTGTACCACTTGAGCCACAGCTCCACTTCTGATTCCTGAATGGTTAATTGGAGATCAGAGTTGTAGATTTTTCTGCCTGGGCTAGCTTTGAATTGTGATTCTTAGATCTCAATCTCCTGAGAATCTAGGATTCTAGGAGTGAGCCACTGGTACCTGGCTCAGAAGCTTTTTAAAGCTCATACTATTTAAAAAAAATACCATATTGTTATTTTTAATGGGAGTTTGTGAGGAATTGGAGTTAAACTTGTTAAAAGGGCTGCATTTGTGTGGAAATTTATTACTCTTCTTTTTTTTTTTTTTTTTTGTCAGTAATGGGGCTTGAACTCTGGGCCTAGGCACAGTCCCTGTGCTCTTCAGCTCAAGGCGAGTGCTCTACTGCTTGAGCCACAGCGCCACTTCTGGTTTTCTAGTGGTTTATTGGAGATAAGAGTCTCACGGAATTTCCTGCCCGGGCTGGCTTTGAACTGTAATCCTCAGATCTCAGCCTCCTGAGTAGCTAGGATTACAGGCATGAGCCACCAGCACCCAGCGTTGCTCTTCTTTTAAAAAATAATTCTTCCCTTTGTGTGTGTGTGTGTATGTGTGTGTGTGTTTAGTGAACTTTATAGATGTCAGCGTCTGAGGGAAATTCCTCACTGATTGACATGAATAACTGGATAGTAAGGGAAAATTCATTTTTGAGGACAAAGAATTTTATATAGCACAAGTACATGTCTCAGATGTAGAATTAGCCTCAGCACACCTCAAAAAGAATGTTACTTGTGAAAATTCTGCACACTTGCATGATGATTTCCTTCTGAAAGTCTATCATGCACAAGTGTGTCCCAATCTATTCTCCTGTAGCATCCAGTGTTCATGAAGCTTCCTGCAATTTCACACATTTTTTTTTCTTGTTAGTCATGGGACTTGAACTCTGGGCCTACGCACTGTCCCTGAACTCTTCAGCTCAAGGCCAGTGCTTTACCACTTGAGCTACAGCACCACTTTTGGTTTTCTGGTGGTTAATTGGAGATAAGAGTCACATGGAGTTTCCTACCTGGGCTGGCTTTGAACTGTGATCCTCAGATCTCAGCTTCTTGAATAGCTAGGATTACAGGTATGAGCCACCAGTGCCCAGCTTCACATGCATTTTTACATAGTGCTCTCAAAACAGAGCCGATGTTTCAAAATAAGAAACATCCATGAAAGGAATATAGAAAAAGGATACAAAGTCAAAGAAAAAAAATCTTATAGATAGGCAACATAGAGAAAATTGCAAATGAGCAAAAAATAGAAAGGTAAGAAAATCAGGGTACGGTAGTAGAGGATGCCAAGAAGAGAGATTTTAAGGCTAGCAGAAAAGTAGCATAGTAGTACTTTTTTCCTTCTTACCTTTTTATTTTATTTTATTTCTTTTTTTTGTTTTGTTTTTTTGTTTTTTTTTTGGGTCCGTTTGTGGGGCCTGAACTCTGGGCCTGGGCGCTGTCCCTCAGCTCTTCAGCTCAAGGCTAGCACTCTACCACTTGAGCCACAACGCCACTTCCAGCTTTTTTCTTTTTGCTTATGTGGTGCTGAGGAATTGAACCCAGGGCCTCATGCATGCAAGGCAAGCACGCTACCACTGAGTCACCTTCCCAGCCCATTTTATTTTGTTTCGCTACGGTTTGAACTCCTTGTTAAGCAGGAGTTCTACTACTTGAGCCATGCCACCAGCCCCTTTTGCTTTTGTTATTTTTGAAGAAGGGTCTCATGTTTATCTCCAGACTGCCCTGGACACAAAGCATCCTGTTTATACTTTCTTGCATAGCTGGGATGATAGACACACGCCACTACATCCTGATTTCATTGGTTGAGATGATACCTCTGTCTTTTTGCCTGGAATGGTCTTGAGCTGTCATCTTCCTGATCCTCAGTAACCAGGATTAGAGGCCTGAGCCACTGGGCCTGGCTCGCTGCCATTTTTTATTTTATTTTTATTTTTTAGCTGTAAACAGAATGTTCAGTTTTCTGTAGCATTTCGAGCATCTCTACTCTGTTTTAACAAGTTATTACACAACTGTTAGTATTGCTTTTTAGTCATAACCTTATTTGTTAGGTTTTGTTTTCTTGTTTGTTTCTTCTTTCTTTGTTTTCTTGCCTGGGTAAAGTGTATTTTAATGAAATGCTAACCGTGTAGCTGTGGTAGATCATTCCTTCTGTCCCTCTGTGTCTCCACAGCACACATACACATACCATTATCAAGAATTGAGGGCTAGGTCTTTTGGGGAAGATTAGAGTCACAGAATTCCCTCCCTCCTTCCCTTCCCCCCTCACTACAAGTGTGAGCCACTGGCACCTGGCTAAGTTGTTTTTTTTTTTAATTGCCAGGCACTTGTGGCTCACACTTGTAATCCTATTGCTACTCAAGAGGCTGAGAACTAAGGATCACCAGCCCAGGCAGAAAAGTCTCCATGAGACTTCTCTCTGATTAACCACTGAAAACTGGAAGTGGTGCTGTGGCTCAAGTGGTAGAGCGCTAGCCTTGAGCATAAAGAGCCTCAGGAACAGTGCTCAGGCTCTGAGTTCAAGCCCCATAACCACCATCAGTAACATAATAATACATAGTCCACTGTTATTTGCCAAAGCATACATATAACAGAAAATGGTTACCTTAATTTCTTTCTCTTTCCTCCCAATTTCACTCAACATGTGGCCATGTATCTTGCATGTGCTTCTTAAATTGATGTGTGTGATGAAATGTGTGTGAATTTGGTCGTTAGATTGTAAGCTCTTTGGGGGTGAATGTCATGTCTCTCTTGCTCTGATTTGCTCTCTCTCACCTGGATATGTACTAGGCACCAAAAGGTTTGTCAATACACAGTTACACTTGCCCCTTTCCCAGAAATGCTCTTTGCTGTGTAATTCTAACTAACACTGTACATTATCCCTTAGGTATTTTTGCACCTCTCTCAAAGATAAGTAAAGCAAAAGACCGAAGGAAGAACATAACACACACTTCCTCCACAAAAGCTGTGCCTCTTACCAGGTCCCTGAAGGTGGATGTGGCTCCTGTCGCTGCAAAAGTGAACTCTGGTAGGTTAAACCAGAAGGCTAACGATCTTGTGAGATTCCTAATCCTTAGACTGCTTTGCTGTTTTTGTTTTTAATTCTTCTTGTGAGCATGCTGAGAGATCAGAATTTAATAAAGCCTTGCACCTTTGTGTGTTTCAGCCAATCAGGATTACTAACTTCAGTTCTGACAAGAATATTTCAGCTGGGTCTCTTCCCTGCTCTTACCATATCTCGTCCACCTCTGTCCTCAGAGCTGTGATGAGACACGCCAGCTGAGTCCCTTGCCCGTGCTGGGGAGGCCTCTTTCTGCTTCTATAGCTGAGCTGTGGCCCCTCCCCTCCCTGCTCTCTCTCCTGTGTTTGTTTATCCTCACCTTGCTCTCTGCCTGCAGGGCTGTGACTTTTGCCAGGGAGGGGCCTGGCCATTCTTTTCTCCCCTAATCAGAACTTGAGTAACACCTTTCTTCTCTAACTGCATTTTTTGCCTATCCTGCACAAAAATTTGTCAGTTTGTCTACTGGGAGCGTTATTTGTGTGAAGCTAATGTTTTCTTAACAGAGTTTTAAACTGTTGATTGGTTGATTGATTGCAGTTATCAGAGTTGAACTCAGGGCCTTGTGCTTTTGTCAATCATGGGGCTTTTGAACTCTAGGCCTGGGCCCTGTCCCTCAGCTCTTCAGCTCAAGGCAAGCGCTCTATCACTTGAGCCACAGTACCACTTCCAGTTTTCTGGTGGTTTATTGGAGAGAAGAGTCTCATGGATTTTCCTGCCCAGGCTGGCTTTGAATTGCAGTCCTCAGATCTCAGGTTCCTGAGTAGCTAGGATTACAGGTGTAAGCCACTGGCGCCTGGCTGCTTTTATTAAATTTTAAGTGGGATCTCACCTCCCCTCTGCCCCCCAACACCAACTTGTTATTTCTGTGTCCTGTAATAGTGAAAATGGTCTGATTTTGATGGGTCTGAGCTGGTCCCAATCTATCTTCCTGCAGAGTTCAGCCTACTAAATAGCTAGGTTACAGGCATGAGCCAAGGCACCTGGTTCTGAATTTTAAATTTTAAATAAACTGTGAGCTTATTGTATGCTTTTTATCTCCACAGGTGCCCATTGAATACCTGTTATGTGATTGTAGTAGAAATAGGAAAGCATCACCATACTGAAAGAGTTGTGTCCAAACAGTGGGGCTTACCTTTTCATTGCTTTCCATTTGGTTGTCTGAATATCCCCAGTACTACTGGGCTTCATAATTACTCTAGAAACAATCTTGATATCTACTACACTAAAATCTGTAGCCTTCTTCTTGAAGATGACCTTGCCTGTTTGGGGCCTTATATAGTTCCTTCTAAATTTTAGAATATGTTGTTAAATTTCTTCTTCTTTTTCCTTCAAGAATCTGTTAGGATTTTAATTGACATGGCATTGAAGCCTTGACTCAATTTGAAGAAAACCACCATGTTTATAGTAGCCAGTCTTTTAATTATGTGCTGGAATATTTTTCTATTTAATCTCATTAAAAATCTCCATATAGTTGTATGATTTTCTTTCTCTAGGTATTTTCTTTTTTAATATTTTTTGACTTTTTAACTAGCATACATGAACAATATAAGGCAGTTTCGTTGTGATGATTCTGTAGATGTGTGTGTTCCCTTAACTCTCTCCTTCCTCCTCCTCAGCTTTTCCAAAAGGCATTTGTGCATCTCATTATGCCATCTTCATATAGATGTCACATACTTTGATCTCTACCTCCATCTTGAGATATTAACCATTTGTTTGATCTGTTCCTAGGTCTTGTATACTTTTTAATGATACTGCCAATGATTCTTTCTTTTTAACTTGGAACCTGGAAATACTCAGTGGGTACTATGTGGATAGACAGTGCAAGTGCAGCCCTCTTTCTGGCCTGAGGAGCAGGAAAGGGGTGACTTCTCTGACAGAACAGGAGGAAACCCCATTCTCTTTTGTTCTCTCCCATCCCAGTCCCTAAGCAACCCAGCATGGTGCAGCAGCAGCAGAGTTCTCAAAGAAGGGCAGCCCTGGCCTCTGAAGGGAGAAACAGTGGCCCCCATGGTTTTTCTTCTGTTTTCCCCACCTCTTGGCTCCAGAGGCAGAATCAATCCCAGAATATTGTGTGATAGAATGGGGAAAGCCCTCAGGAGATCGTGAGAGGAGTGCCCTCCCTCGTGTGGGGCAGGACTAAAGGCCTCTGTCTCCTGGGCAGGACCTTTGCAGGCCCTGTCTGGCCAGTAGCTAGCATAGGAGGTGGATTCAAGTATCACTGCCATGTTTTTGGAAGCTCAAGTGACATGGGGACAAGGTGGGTGGGAACTTCCCACCTGGACTTTGCCAGGCTGACTGCAAAAACAAAGTCAGAATAAAATCAGGATCCTCTATAGCGTTTAAATATTACCCATTGTCCCATTACACATTACCCAGGATCATCAACATTACTCAAATGATGAAAAAGTAGGGAATTCTGTGCATTTTATAGAATCAAAGGATGCTGGTTCTGAGATAAGGTCATTGCAATTCATACATACAAACGTTACAGAATGTATTAGAGTCATGCTCCGAGAATTAAAGGTGAACACGCTTGACACAAATAGAAAAAAAAAATCAGCAGAGAAACAGAAGATATTAAATACAAGCCATGTATGAGATGCGGAGGCAGGAAGATTGTGAGTTTGAAGCCAGCCTGGTCTACATAGTGAGTTCCAGGACTGCCTTTGTTATGTATGCAAGCAAGGCCTTGTTAAAAACAACAACAACAACAACAAAATCAAAATAGAAGTAAATGTTGTGTACCTGTATATTTGCACATACATGCATGTGTGAGTGTTCGCACACACATGCACACACATGAATGTAAGCAAGCCTGACATAGGATGAATGAGATTAGTCAGCAACCTGGTTGAGATAGTTTCCTATGGTTATGTAAAATATACAAAGGGGTCTTTTTATATAAAAACATCATGTGAGGCCAGTTATCTGCATAAAAATTCAAATAAAGCAGAGCCAGGTAGAACTGAAAAATGTCAATATTAAAAAATATAAATCTACTCTGCCTGATCATTCTGTTTTTCTGCTCGAGTTGAGGTCCTTTCTCATCCCTGGGTGCTATAGTGCCTTCTCCTAGCCTCTGCATCTAGCCTCCCTGCTAGAAGATTTTTTTTCTAGACCTTCCCACTGGAGGAAGGAATGTTACACACCTAGAACCTCGTTCAGGCCAGACATCCTTTTCAGTGCACTAAATACTACTTTCCTACAAGAGTTTCCCCCTCCCCTCTCTGTTCCCCTCCCCCTTCTCCCTTCCCCTCTTCCTTTCTCTCCCTTCCCCTCCCTTTTTCCTTCCCCTCCCCTTTTCTTTCCCCTCACCTCACCCCTTCCTTCCCTTTCCCCTCCCCTCCCTCCCCTCCCCTCTCCTTTCCTCTTCCCCTCCCCTCCTGTCCCTCACCTCCTGTCCCCTCCTGACCCTTCTGTCCTCCTCTCCTCTTCTTCTGTTTTTTTCTTCCGTGTGTGTGTGTGTGTGTGTGTGTGTGTGTGTGTGTGTGTGTGTGTATGTGCTAGTACTGGGGCTTTAGCTTGGGGGCCTTGTATGCTTTCACTTGACCTTTGCTGGTTAATTGGAGATGAGAGAGTCTCAGATTTGTCTGCCCAGGCTGGCTCTGACCTGCAATCCTCAGATCTCAGCCTCTAGGATTTCAGGCCTGAGCTGCTGACCTTTGGCTTCCCTCTGTCTTCCTTAAGGCTTTCTTTATTTCTGCCTATCCAGAATCTTTACCCTCAGTTTTTCCTGACCACACTCACACAGCATTCTAGCCATTTTCAGAATGTGATTTAGAGGAGAGCCACAGTTTTTGCCTCATGTTCCTGTGTTAGTGCTTGTGATGAAGTGCACCCTCACTTGTAGTTACTTGCGAAGATGTCTGTCTGCTGTGTTAAGTGGAAGAGGTCCTCCACAGCCCAGAGCTGCCTTGTCTTGTTTGCAGCACTCAAGTCCCCTGTCCAGTTCTTTATGGAAATATTTCACACACGAGTAGAATGGAATATGTCTGGATGGAACTTAAAGTTGAGTGTAGTCTGTGCCACTTCTTTAAATAACTTCTCTTCTGTACAATGGAAACAGAAGTCTTAGCAAATCAGCCTATTATTCCAAAGTGTTTTTCTCCCAAGTGAAGTTTTTGTGGGAGTTGGGTGTGGCTCTAGAGAGGGAGAGACATTTTCAGAATTCCAGTGGCAGAGTGTGGGATTTCTTCTCATCAAAACCTTTGCTTAAGTGAAAAGTTGCTAAAATGATCAGTGAAAGTTATTTTATCCAGTGCATTTGTGTGCATTCCAGGGAAGCAGGATGTGTTGTGTGAACTCACAGAACAAGGGCACTAAGTATCAAACACAAGGCAACTTCCATGTCCGATGATTCATTTGGAAATCTGTAGTGGGTCATAATTTTTTTTTTTTGACAGTGCTGGAGTTTGAATCCAGGACCCTGTGTGTTGGCGATACTTTGCACTTGAGCCACACATCCAGCTGTTTGCTTTTGTTATTTTCCTAGTGTGGGTCACCCTGGATGGTGATTCCCCTATTTATGTCTTCCTAGTTGGCTGGGATGACAGGCATGTGTTACTGTATCCATTCTTTCATTTGATAAGATAAAGTCTGGTGAATCCTTTGCCTAGCTGGCCTCAAACCATGATCTTCCCATTTCTGCCTCTCAAGTAGCTGGGCTTAGAGGTGTGATCTATCATGCCTAGCAAATTGATTTTTTTTTTAATATGTGTTGGGAATTCAGGCCTTTTATCCACATATATGTATATATATGGATAATAATGGATATGGATAATATATATGGATAAATATATATGGATATAAATATATGGATATAAATATATATATTAGTCCTGGGGGCTTGAACTCAGGGCATGACTGCTGTCCTGGGGCTTATTTTGTTCAAGTCTAGCACTCTACCCTTAAACCACACCTCTACCACTTTTAGATTGTTTTTGGTTTTTTTTGGTGGCTAATTGGAAATAAAAGTCTCATAGACTTTTGGTTGACTTCAAACAACAGGCCTCAAATCTCAGTCTCCTGAGTATCCAGGGTTACAGGTGTAAGCTACCAGTGCCCAGCTCTCCTCTTACATTTTTCCCCCACAGTTTTGGGCACAGCAGGCAGGCCCTGTACCAGGCAAATGTGGTACCACCGAGTTGTCTTCCTAATCTCTTTCTCCTCTGGTTGATGAGATTTTGGTTTCTGTGAAGTTATTATCCAGCGTGTTTTCAGAAGTGGCTGAGATTCAGATAATGAGAGATGCATGTATAATCAGGAAAACAAATAAGATTTGGTGCTCAATGTTAAACAAGACTCTCTCTGTTCTGGTGTCTCAGGAGTGATGTCATCAAAGAAAGAGAACACTTCTGAGTGTGCCCTGACAGGGCCTCCCAGGAGGGAACCCAACGCAGCCACCGAGAAAGATGGTAATGCCATTCATAACTCCCTGATCTTAAAGTTCAGTTTGCCTGTGGAACTTTTAATAATACAGTGGTAAACCATTGCATTTAAGTTTTAAAGTTAGGGAAAATTCACAGCAAAAACCACCAGTGAAAATGTCTCAAACAACTCACAATAATGTATATCCTTAAGAACATAAAATCTTCTTCTGTGTTTCTTAGAGGTATGTTTAGAGGACTACTGAGCTGGCTTAAGAGGGAATGGAAGGAAATTGCACCGTTCAATGTCTTGGCAACACTGATTTGATAAACTGTTTATCAAGTCATTGTATGAACAGAGCATGAGCTTCCTGCTTGCCTTCAGTTTTAACTCAGAACATTTAACATAGCAGAGTGCCTATGGCTCCTGCCTATAATCCTACCTACTCAATGGGTAGTTCAAAGCCAGCCTGGCAGACTCTTATTTCCAATTAACTAGCAAAAAGCTGGGACTGGAGGTGTGGCTCAAGTGGTAGAGTGCCAGAGCAAAAAAGCGGAGTGAAGCCTTGAGTTCTATCCCTAATACTGGCATAAGAAAACCCCCTAACACATTTGTTACCTTAAAACATCTAAACAACATTTTTTGGTATCTTTACTCTCCTCCCTTACGCTACTCACCTGAGTGGTGGTGGTGGTTAGATGAGATAATATTAGTTGCTATGGTGGCATCCACTTCTAAGATTGTGAGGTTACAATGTAAATGCTTAAAAAGAGCTCTTGTGTCACAAAATCTTTTATGTATAAAGTATATTTGGATGAAACCAGGCATTTAATTTGGCATTAGCAAATCCACCATTGAGGAAACTTAGATGGGATATTTCAGAAGGATTTGCCTGGAAAAATATGGTAGTAGCTCACTTCCTATTTTCCACACGTCTGTAATGCTATATATATCTATTTCTTCTCCTCTGTTTCAGTTTCCCTGCATGGAACCATGAGCAGCTCCTCCTCCACGTCTTCTTTGGAACATAAACAGAATGTCTCCAAGAAAACGAACTCAAGCAACAGTAGCAAGAAGACCACAAGCAAAAGCCCTTCTCTGTCCTCCAGAGCCAGTGCTGGTATCTATGGCTTTTTCAACCAGGCTTACTTGGTGTTTTTAATCTTGGTTTGTTTGTAAGTAGATTTGCTGTTTTTACATGTGTAGAAAGGAACCTTTTACTTCAATCAGACTGAACTACTTTCTTTCTTCCCTGTCTCTTCCCCTCCCCCACCCGCCTCTTGAGCCTTAAATCAAGTATTTATTTTGCTGTTGGGTAGAAGATGTTGCATTGATCGTCACCTTACGTGCCCTTAGTGATTTTTGCCCCATCTGAAGTGTTTTGTTTTGGGCTGTTGCATTTTGCCTATTACTGTTCTCACATGCCTCAATGTCTGTTTTTTTTTTCCTCTTTTTTTAAAAAAATTGAAATCCTACAGGGTGCCCCCTTCTAGGAAGCTAGGAACAGCTGTTCAGCTGTTCAGAGTGTCTACCTGCCTATAGACTCTCCCCATCCACTCCTTCCCAGTTCTGTGTGAAGACTCAGGAGATACACAGGAGATACTTTGTGCTGTCGACATAGATCATATCTCTTATAGTTCACTTACTTGCCTATACATGTAAACTTACCCAGAAAGAAAGTGAAGCTTTTTTTTTTTTTCCCTTTGCAGAGATGTACTTGAACTTAGGGCCTTCTACTTGCCGGGCTGATGCTCTTCCACTGAGCTAAATTCCCAACCCCAAGTGAAGCTATTTTGACATAATTATTCTCTGTGAGACAATAATTACCAGATTATTTTTTCCTAATACTTCTGATAATTACCGTTGTACCAATATTTTATTATATGAAATGTTAATGACAGGATTATTATTACTATTTGGTACTAGTGTTGAGGCTTGAACTCAGGGCCTGGACACTGTCCCTTCACTTTTTTTGCTCAAGATTGGAACTCTGCCACTTGAGCCACAGCTTCTCTTCCAGCTTTTTGGTGATGAATTGGAAATAAGAATCTCATGGACTTTCCTGCCGGGCTGTCTTTGAACTACAATTCTCAGGTCCCAGCCTATTGAATACAAGTATCACAGGCAAGATCTATTGGTGCTTGCCCAGCAAAAGTTTTTTTTCTTCAACAAACCTTATTGGTGGGGCAAACAGGTGGGGCAATCCCACCTGCCTTCATTAGCAAACATAATAATGATAAACCTTAAATATAATAAACCTTAAAGCTGGGATCCCAAAAGTAGAGGCCTGGAAGCTTGGCCTGGAAATGTTTACCCAGAATAGTTGTTTTCTGGGTATCTGCCCCTCTGCATACTAGGGTATGCCCCTTTGTACACTAAGGTATGCAGTTTCTCCTCAATACTGTGAAGGACATAGCCACATAGCAACCCTTTTCATCCGTATTCATATTGTAAGTCCCTTCATTTGCCTTCCAGACTTCAGTCATTTGCTGGAGTTTAAATTTATATATGGGTGTAGACTATCTTTTCTACCTTTAATAGCAAGTAGTTTTATTTATTTATATATTTGGGGGTTATGTGGACTTAAATAACAGTGAAAAAGAAGACTTTCTCTCAAAGGGGGAATGGGGCAAAGATCAGAAGTGGGAAGGAAAGTTCATGTTTGGAACCCAGAGGCATTCCTTCAGACACTTTCTTAGCGTGTGTACTTTGAATAGATTTGTATACCTGAGGAGTTGTGAACAGCAAGAGGGTGGACAATAGTGAATATGTATGTTATAAAGAGGAGCTGGGTGTCAGTGGATCACGTCAGGAGGTTGAAATCTGAGGATCGAGGTTCAAAGCCAGCTTGGGCAGGAAAGTCTGTGAGATTTTTGTCTCCAATTAACCACCATAAAACCAGAAGTGGCGTTGTGGCTCAAGTGGGTAGAGTGCTTGCCTTGAGCTGAAGAGCTCAGGGACAGTGCCCAAACCCAGAGTTCAAACCCAACTGACCAAAAAAAAAAAAAAAAAAAAAAAGACAGAGGAGCAGAAAGAAAGGAGTAGGGGAATGGGATAGCTAGGAAAGTCTGTGCTCTGGGCCTCAGCTTTAGAGTAGAACCTCCATTGAACTTTGGGGTCTTTGGGCCGTGGTCTACAAGAACATGGGAACAGACGGGAGGATTTCTGGTCTCAGGTTCTGAGTGTGACACCTGTAAACGCTCAACACCAGCCCAAGGTTGTGCCCTATTTATCATTGACCCCCTGACCCCCAGTTTGCTTTTTATAGACAAGGTCTCACTATACTCCAAATTGATTTTGAAGTCATGATCATCCTGCCTCAGCCTCCTGAGTGCTGGAATTGAAGGCATGTACCATATCATTCCAACACCTATGAAAAGTACTTCATAAACTGTGAGGTACTACAGAATAGCAGCTAGTAGGAGGGGCCAGGAGTTGTATCCAGAACACCCTCTCCATTGGTTTATGTACCTCCATGTTTTTGTTTTCTGCCTTTCCATACTTTACTTACTCTCCCTCCAAGCCTTCATTGGGGTCCTGAAGGCATCTCCTGATGGAAGCGGTGCAGGCTCTGATGATGTGCCCATAGGGCCAGGCTGGGAGCCCACCTCTTTTCTTGTAGCTGTTGTATTTGGACAGCTTTTGAGGCAATATTTCTCTAGGACTTGTGATATTTCATAGGGGGCACCAAGATTTGGTTTTGAATCAATGGAGAGGGGAGACGTTTTGTTTTTTAAATTAGGATTTCATTTTAGGTCATTAGGACCGGTGATAGGTTGAATAGTCCTTATCCAGAATGCTTGCAAACAGAAATGTTTGGGATTCTAGATTTTTTTTTCCTTTGGGTTTTGGAATATTTGCACAGATTTTACTGGTTGAGTATCTCTAATCCAAAATCCGAAATCTGAGATGCTTCAAAATCTGATACATTTTTTTTTTTGCATTGGAACTCAATATGAGAGCGAATTTAAACTTTTATGCTCAAACATTTTGGATTTTGGAGCATTTTAGATGTTCAGATTCAGGCTACTTAACGAGTAGCCATTTTGCCTTTGGACCACATTCCTCTGTGTATCCTTTAAGCTGAGTCCAGGTGAACCACATTAACTCTAGTGCTTTCCTTGAATAGGTATTGGAAAACTTCAGCCCACTTGTTTTGTAAATAAAGTTTTATTAGACACAGCTATGCTTATCCCTTTATATATTGTATACATCTATTTTCAACAGTAGAGCTGAGTCTCCATGACAGAGACAAGTATGGCTAACAAACCCTAAAATACTATCTATGTCTTCACAAGCAATTCTGAAAGAATCAGTTCTTTACCCAGGAATCAGTTTGTGTGAATTTCTTTAGGCCATAATTTTCTCAAGAAACACTAAATGTTTCCGTTGAGTGCTTTGACCTCTCATGTCAGAAATGCAATGAATATTATGTTATAAAAGGCATCCAAGTTTGACACCTCCAACAAACTAGACTACTTAGAATATAGAGTGATTTTTTTGACTAATGTGTTTTGAGGTTGTCTGCCCTTTGTTTTCTCTTCTCTTTCCCTGCTCCCTTTCCCCTATCACCTCCACAGGTTTGAATTCTTCAACAACATCTGTAGCAAATAATCCCCGCCGCGAAGGAGAACTCCACCTTGGAGATCGAGTGCTGGTGGTAGGCCAGAGAGTTGGTACCATTAAATTCTTTGGGACAACAAACTTTGCTCCAGGTAACTCATCTGAATAGTCTTTGTTCAATTTCAAGTTTAAGAATATGAAAGATTTGAAATTTTGTAGATAGAGAAAATGTAATCCTAGAGCTGGGCACCTGTGGCTCACGTTTGTAATCCTAGCTACTCAGGAGGTTGAGATTTGATGATTGTGGTTCAAAGCCAATTAAACACCCAAAAGCTGGAAGTGTAAGAGTAGGTCGAGTGCCAGCTCTGAGTGAAAAGCCAAGGGAGGGCTAAAGTCTGTAAATTGAAGCCCCAGTACTGGTATGTGTGCATGTACACACACACACACACACACACACACACACACACACGTTATCATAGAAAACTCCTCAGTCAACATGGTTTGTGGGAGAGAGCAGCAGCGCAGAAATTATGAAACTGACACAAATTCAGGGTGTTGATGCTCAGTCTGACTGGCGCCTGTCTATTTGCCTTGCCAAGTGTGTTTCCATTTAGCTAATGTTAAAATTAGCTGTCATTTCCCAAGTTAATGCTCACTGATTTCCAACTGTGCTAAATGACAAGGGAAGTATTTCAGGCTTAGTTTTTCTCTGAAGATAATACTTCAAATGAGTAGGTAATGAGTTAATGTATAGCTCTTATCGGAGTGGCGTGGAGAGCCCGTGTGGACTATGGGACCTTAAAAAAGAATACATGTTTGTGTATTTTTGTATTCATCCCAACATACTTATTACTGTGTTACCCAAAGTAAAGATTACTTTCATTTGCCTTTTTTAAGGATTATAAGTGTAAATAAAAGCCAGTCAAATGAAGCCCTGTTTGTATGTTTTAAATAGCAATATGTCATTTTAACACACGGTGGCATTGCAGCATTTTGGAAAAAGATTACCTATGACATTGATTTTTGTTGTTGTTATTGTCGTTGTTGTGTTTGTGGTATAACGTTCTGCCAAGAACCAGGAAGGAGCTGAGATTTTTAACCTGTTTGCAAGCTAGCAAACTAGCCTGCCACAGTTTCACAGATGTTATTGGAAGACATAAGAATCCTAGGTCAGAGACAAGGTCTTAGGTACTTGGACAATAGCAGCTGCAAGAGTATTAGTATTTTCTTAGATTCCTGCAGTGTGGGGTAGAGAGGGCCAGGTGTCACCTGCACACCCAGTGGTGTATGCTCCAGACCAGGAACCCTGGTCTTAAGGTGTCTGAACATTTACATTAAATTGATTGCTTAGCATGACTGCTTTTTGCTTTGGAGAAGGACTGTCCTCTGAGACTATCCTGTACACAGACATCCAGAGAGAGTCAGGGGCAAAGGCAGATCATATGTCTGACTATAGACAGTAAGAGATATGAGAGAGCCATGAAAAATCAAAATCCAACACATTCTTATTTTCTTGTCTTTTAATGATTCCAGCATTGGGGCTTGAACTCAGAACTGAAGCCACTACCACTTTGTTGTTCTTTTCTTTTCTTTTCCCTTCCTTCTTTCCTTTTCCCTTCTTTCCTTCCTTCCTTCCTTCCTTCCTTCCTTCCTTCCTTCCTTCCTTCCTTCCTTCCTTCCTTCCTTCCTTCCTTCCTTCCTTCCTTCCTTCCTTCCTTCCTTCCTTCCTTCCTTTCTTTTGCTGTTTAATTGGAGATAAGAGTCTCATGGACTTTCTGCTTGTGCTGGCTTTGAACCTCAACCCTCAGATATCAGCCTCCTGAGTAGCTAATGTTACAGGTGGGAACTACCAATGCCCAGAGGCCCAACATAGTCTTGTTTGCTTATTACCGATTTTAATTTTAAGCCATTGAGTTGATTTTAAGATAGCTTGTGTGTTTTATAATCCATGGCTTCCTTAGGTCTCCAGGCAGTAATTCAGTTTGGCTAAGAAACAATATAAACACTTAGTCCTGTAGGTAGATTATTTTTCACAATCACCATGCATCTTTAAATTTCCCTTTCTCTGACTATATAAAACAAGACTAGAATGGTTTGATTCCTTGGATACAATGAATTACTTAAGGTTGGCTTTTATTTTTTTTCTTCTTTTAAGCAGTACTGGAGTTTGAACTCAAGGCCTAAAGCTTGCTTGGCAGACACTGTACACTTGAACCATTCTACCAGGCCTGTTTACTTTGGTTATTTTTGATGTAAGGCCTGGCTTTATGTCTAGGCTGGCCTTGACTGTGATCCTCCTAGTTGTTCGTCCCCATGTAACTAGGATTACAGGTGTGAGCCACAGGCACCCTGCTTTGTACTGTCTTTTTAAACTGAGAAGGAGCAGATACATGTTAGCTCCTCTCAGGCGCCCTCAGCTTGAGAATTCTTTTTTTTTTGGGGGGGGGGGGTCGGGTCATGGGGCCTGAACTCTGGACCTGGGCGCTGTCCCTCAGCTCTTCAGCTCAAGGCCAGCGCTCTACCACTTGAGCCACAGCGCCACTTCCGGCTTTTTTCTTTTTGCTTATGTGGTGCTGAGGAATCGAACCCAGGGCCTCATGCATGCAAGGCAAGCGCTCTGCCACTGAGCCACCTTCCCAGCCCCAGCTTGAGAATTCTTGCTCTGCAAGTGTGTGGGGGAAGCACATAGCCCAACTATTTCAGTTTTCAGCTCTCCAGGAAAGGAAGTCTCATTACCTCCCTTGGAGTCTGTCCCTTAAGTACTTGAGAACCTTTCTGAAAATTCTTCCTGTTAGCTAACTTAAGTCTTTTCACCTTGGCTAAAAGTGATTTTTCTTTTCATCTTGAGATGAAAAGATAATAGAGAGGAAGCAGGCTCACCATGATGACCAGTGATACTTTAACAATATTCTCTCTGTCGGGCACTGGTGGCTCACACCTGTAATCCTACTTACTCAGGAAGCTGAGATTTGAGGATCATGGTTTGACCTGAGAAACCTGGTTCAAAGCCAGCCTGGGCAGGAAAGTCTTGAGACTTTTATTTTCAATTAGCTACCAAAGAGTTAAGTGGAGCTTGGGCTCAGGTGGTAGAGGGCTAGCCTTGACCATAAAAAGGGACAGTGCCCAGGCCCTGAGTGCAAGCCCCAGGACTGGCACCACAAGCCCAATTATCTCTGGTCCTTCACAAGTCATTCAAGAACTTTTATGGTGTTCTAATATTGAGATTTATATATTTTAAGATTTAGATATCACTGTATTATATTACACTACTCTTGTGGAAACACACTGCATTAGTCAAGGGCAGTTTCTTTTTCATTATAGTTTTGAGATATGTTCTGATTGCATCCTACTTGCGTGATAGCTAATCCTTTGCAAATTTGGGCTGTTACATTTGATTTGTCTCCTTTAATGTACTGCTCCACAATTATGCTGGTAAAATGTTTTTTCCCCCCCGCCACTTTTCAAATTTTCAAGTTTTATTTTTATAATTTTATCATTTGAAAGCTTAATGATCATGATGATCTAGCATTTTGATCATTTGTGAAAATGTTAAACCATCAAGACTTGGGTTCATGTAATAAGCATAATGATGTTGAGTAAAGTGCTGATGCTTTTAAAATGCAATCTTCATGTTCTAGGGTATTGGTATGGTATAGAGCTTGAAAAACCTCATGGCAAGAACGATGGTTCAGTTGGAGGTGTGCAGTATTTTAGTTGTTCTCCAAGATACGGAATATTTGCACCCCCATCCAGGGTGCAAAGGTGAGAAAAAGAATGCATGTTTATCCCCACTGGCTTTTTATAGTTTGCAGTAGCACACAGAGACCTTAATTTTTTGATACTATATAAACTACTTATGTAATTATAACTGAAGATTTTTTTTCTAGGAATCATTCCTTAATGATTATGTGTGGTACATATTTATATTATTAAACTTATCAAACACACATTTTAAGACATTGATGTTTTCATATTATCTTTAAGTAGTTGTACAAAGGATTTTCAGTTCAATATATCAGTTTGTGAGTACAATACATCTTGATCAATATCACCCCTTCTATTGGAATCCGCCATATCTCCCAACCCCACCAAACCCCTCAAGTTACCTGGTTCCATTTTCATTCATATATATAATTGAGTGTTATGACTAGATTTGTCCACCCTTCCTCTCTCCATTTATCTACCCTCCCTTTGTTTGACTTCACTCCTTCTCTGATAAAACATGTTTCAGCTTCCTGGCAATTAATTAATTAATATTATCCTTAAGTAGTTGTACAAAGAGGTTTCAATTCAACACATTCATTTTGTTAAACTGTAAGTTAGTTGTTCAAAGGCATTATACCACTAGGCCATACTTAGTCAGCTGTGGATATATGCATATGGCCCTGGATATATTTTCCTATATGTTTATAATTTGGACCCAACTTCTACATATGAGAGAAGACATGTGTCTTAATTTTGTCTGGAAGATATGCCCTGACTGGATAGTTCATGCTTTCTTTCAAAGGGTTAAGTACCCACCTTCTTCAGAGGGAAGGCTTATGGAAAGCTAAATTTGACTTGCGAGGATTTGCAATTTTAAAGACCTCCTTTCTTCCTCATTTGCAAACCCTATGAGGATGTGTAGGCTATTAGAAGTGGCGTTTGAGGCTTAGAACAGTGAGAGAGGCAAGCTTAATCTGTCATGCAAACAAAAGTAAAAATGCACTCTGATTGCTTCAGTCACATCCTAACTACATTAAATTTCCTGCCAGCAGGCACCCATTCATCCTCTTACAAACCTAATGGAACCAAAATGGCTTTTTTTCCCTCTGATTTCTTTCGTTTTCAAAAATAGATAGGCAGTAGGTCTTTGGAGGAAGTGAAGTTTCAAGGATTTGTAGATAATAAACCACCTCAGTGTTCCTTTGTGAGGTAGTACACTCGTGGACTACCTCACACTGGTTTTAAACAAGAGGTTGAGCAGAAATACATCTGTCATGAAATTCTAGTGCAAATATCGAATGCCTTTCCTCATCCGGCCTGGTATGCTTTTCAGTAGCTGGGAAATAGGATACCAATCTTTAAATAAGAGATAGCATGCACAATATAATTACATTCATAAGACGAGATCTACTGTGACAGTCTGGAAGTCACAGCCAGACTGTGACTGCTCCTGAGTGAATTGAAGTTTATTTTTCTATCTATTTTTGTCTTCAATATATAATTTTTTCCTGTTGAATAATTATGTATGCTTTTTTGTATTAATTTCCTTTGGTGAGGTACTTGACATCATTATTTCCTTCCCTCAAATAGGAAGGCATTAGCATATAAAATTTTGTAGTTTATTAAGTATCTTCACTTTAGTGTTTGGCCAGATAAGCTGGAAAATATCCATCTCTGCTGCAAACCTTCATAGAGCATCAACCAAGAGGTAGACTGTGCTATGCATTGTATTGCTTTTCATGGCTCTGCCCCTCCCAACGCAGGAGCCCTGCAAAGTCCTGATCATTCCCATTTTAGCTCAGCTAAAGTTGCATGGCTAGTTAATGAAGGCATTGGACTCAGCCCCGGTTTTTAAGTACTTTGCTCTTTTTTTCTTATTATTTTTTTTTTTTAATGAAACAAACAAAAAAAGGAACTAGCTAATGAATAGCACTTACACAGGCTGGGTTCCATTTCCAGCCCAGTCCAGTAACCTTGTGGGGCATGCCCTGGAATGATTCCTGTTTCACAGAGGAGGAAAGTAAGGCCCACCTTCAGAACATCCAATCTTCACTTACTCCTACCCCTGTTACCAGAGCATCCTTGACTCTCCTGGGATGCAAGTCTGGCTAGCAATTGCCTTGGGAGTGAAGTCCAGCAGAATCAAATGGGGGCTTGTGTATTGTCCTCATTGGCCCTTTGCTACAGGCTCATTGAAGTTTTGTCTCCTGGTCATGAGGGCTAGGATTTGTTTTGTGTTCCATTCCTCAGAGTGCAGAGTTTGGTGTATTCTGGGCATGGTAAATACGGATCAACTCTGATTCTTTGTTCAGTTCAGTCATATTCCTTCTTGTGGCTTCAGTTTCCCCTGTGGTTTGTTTTTCTTTTTTTAAATGTAGGAGGCACTTTGTGTTTTGCTTGTCTTCGGTTTGGTCTTCTTTAAGGTGGTGCCTATAAAAGCAACCCCCTCTTCTTTAAAAGAATTGGGGCTGCCTTTAAAAGAACCACTGTCTCAATCCAGCTGCCTTCCTGTCATCTTTTGATTGTCTCATTCATCATCATCAAATACTATTAAGTGTCTTTTTAGCATTTTGTGCTGTGCAAGGCATTCTATAAGCAAATAAAACAGGCATGGTCTCTGATTTTGAGGAGAATCTGATCCAAGCCAGTTTTGAGCCCATTAAAGACCCCACTGATCTTTAGAATGGAAGGATTTTAACCTTAGGGACTGCTTCAGGAGAGTCTTAGGGCCAGGTCACAACCTGACCTTGCACCTTTCTCCTGAGTGCTCTAATTAGCCTTTCCCAAATCTTTGCCCACATTGTTTCCTCTTTCCAGATAGCTTTCTTGACTCAGCTTTCATTTCACGTTTTCTTTTTCTTTTTTCTTTTCTTTTTTGTCTTGGGACTTGACCATAGGATCTGGGTACTGTCTCTTGAGTTTTTTCACTCAAGGCTAGTGCTCTACAAATTTGAGCCACAGTTCCACTTCTGTGGTTAATTGGAGATAAGAATCTCACAGACTTTCTTGCCTGCCATGATTTTGAGATCTCATCCTATTCAGTAGCTAGGATTACAGACATTAGGTACCAACACTTGGGTCATTTACTAGTTTTTTTTAGTTTTTTTATGTTTTTAATAGTTTTTTACTATTTGTTGTGACTAATATACAAATCAATCAACATTTAAGAGAAACTCTAAGAAAACTTACTGGCTAGGTGAAATCTAATCTCTCTTAAAACCAAATCTGGTCTTTCACACACACACACACACACACACACACACACACACCATCTTAATGAGCATAGAGTTTATTTTCTTTTTGTTTTGTTTTGTTTTTTTTTTGGTCCAGTAGTGGGGCCTGAACTCTGGGCCTGGGTGCTGTCCCTCAGCTCTTCAGCTCAAGGCTAGCGCTCTACCACTTGAGCCACAGCGCTACTTCCGGCTTTTTTCTTTTTGCTTATGTGGTGCTGAGGAATCAAACCCAGGGCCTCATGCATGCAAGGCAAGCGCTCTACCACTGAGCCACCTTCCCAGCCCAGAGTTTATTTTCTTAGTTCTTATCATTAGGTACGCCTTCCTTCCTGCCTTCCTGCCTTCCTGCCTTCCTGCCTTCCTGCCTTCCTGCCTTCCTGCCTTCCTGCCTTCCTGCCTTCTTTCCTTTTGCCAGACCTGGGGCTTGGGTGTTGTCCCTAAGTTTCATTTGCTCAAGGCTAGCACTCTACCACTTGAGTCACACCGCCACTTCTGGCTTTTTCTGTGTATGTGGTACTGAGGAATTGAACCCCGGGCTTCATGCATGCTAGGTAAGCACTCTACCACTGAGCCACCTTCCCAGCCCTTGGTACTTATTTCTAATGACCTGATCACTTCTAGGATTGAGTTCCTCTCTACTGTCTATCCCTACTTCATATAAATGCCTGTCCTTTTCCTTAAGTTTTGTTTGTTTGTTTGTTTTGTGGTGCTAGGAGTGGGGCTTAAACTCAGGGCCTCATACTCTCATTGACTTTTTAAATCAAGGCTGGTGATCTATCATTTGAGCCACAGCTTCCCTTCCAACTTTTTGCTGGTTAGTTGAAGATAAGAATCTCCCAAACTTTTCTGCTGGTTTTGAACCAGAAGCTTCGGGCTCTGAGCAACTAGAATTTTAAGTATAAGCCACCAGGGCCCGCCCAGTGCCAAGTCATATTCTTTATGTCCATCAGTCTCTTGTCAGTTGGGATGTGCTGTATTATATGATGTTAAAATGATGCATCTGAATTGCAAGATGACACTGCAGATATTGCAGGAGTTGCACGATTTCTCAATGGAAATGAAGTATGTTGGAGGGGGTGATTGACAAATGAAAGCCTTGCAGATTCAGGTCAGTAAGCAGTTGAAAGAAAATGAGATTGTCACGATTGTCTTTTTAAAAGTATAGAATGATCTGAAGATCAGAAAATGAAGAGAAAGCCATTGGGAAGGTGACCTTTACAATTTTGCTTAGCATTAAATATAAAGGGCCTCAAATTGTCTTAGCTGTACAGTTTTACCAGAAAAATCACAAACATAAAATTGACTAATATCTATCTTCCAGTTTAATGAGTTAGTAATAGTTTTTCCATAGTACTTTACCATTTTAATCCAACATGTGTTAAATTTGATATAAAATAAGCATTTTCATGTTTTTAGTTTCATCTTTGAAGAAAATTTGAAAAGAAGTCAGATCCCTATTTTATGTGAACTTATTTATTCATTCATTCATCCATTTATTTATTTAGTGCTGGTACTGGTGCTTTTTGGTGGTTAATTTGAGATGACGCTCTCAGATTCTTGTTGCTCTAGATTGGATTTGAACTGTGATCCTCATATCTCAGCCTCTTGAGTAGGATTCCAGGTGTGAGTCACTGGTGCCTGGCTAAATGAATTAATTTCAAATGGACTTTTTACATGCCTCTTAAACCTCTTCCTTCTGATTATTGCCCATCTCAAGAGCAGCTACTCTAATGTGGTGTGCTTTGTTTGTTTTACTTGTAGATTAACGGATTCCCTGGATACTCTTTCAGAAATTTCAAATAAACAGAATCATTCTTATCCTGGTAAGGAGACAAAATTTTATGTTCTTAATAAGTATTTTTTGCTTGTCCTCATGATAGATTTTGATGATGAGATACATATGTATTAGTGTATATATGTATATATGTATGCATATGTATATATGTATGTATTTGTATACATATGTATATAAAAGAGTAGATGGAGTTTATTTATTGTATAGTTCATGTAGTCACAGAGTGGGTATCTCTTTCCTGCCTCTCAGCTGCACAAGATAGGATCACCTGTGTGGTAGAAGTCCCTGAGTCCCTTCTCATCTGTCTTCATGTCCCATGTCCCATCCTAAGACTATATTAAGTATTCCTTGCTTTATTTTAAAAAATATTTTGTTACCCCATATAGAAGTATATGTTTGGCTTTGCTTATTGTCTGATTTAACTAGGGGTCATATCTTGTTTTTTATTATTACAAAATATGCATGTTCAGGAGTTCTTCTGGAGTGGTAGACACCTATATATGTGTGTGCATGTGTATCTATGTATATGTGTATGTATACAATGGGAGTACTCACTCCCATAAGCCATACTCTGAGCTTCTGCTCCTCCTCAGTTTCATGGGTGTAAATGGTCTCTCATGTGGCCTTACTGTGCATTTTTCAGATTACAGTCGAGATTGAGCCTGTTTTCACTTTATGGGCCATACATATGCATTTCTTCTTTTATGAAATACCATTTCATGTCTCTTGCCTATTTTCCTCTTCGCTGCTCTGCTGTTTCTTTTACTAATTTGAAGGTTTTGTTGTTTATTTGAAGTGTTAATGCTTTGTTGGTCTCATATGTTGCAAATATCTTACTCAGTTGGTGACTTATCTTTTTATATTTTTCTTCTTTTGGGGTCTTTGATATCAGAAGCTTTTAAATTTTGTCTAGTCAAAACACAACTATTTTTTGCATTTTTGTATATATTAATACACAAATATCTATAGATGTGTATATGTGTATATACACACATACATATATATGTATATATGCATGTGTGTGTGTGTGCTGGTACTGAGGCCTAGGCACTATCTCTTAGCATTTTTTCTCACACTCTACTGATTGAGCTTCAGTTCCACTTCTGGCTTTTTGGTGATTAATTGTAGATGAAAGTCTTACAGACTTTCCTGCCTAGGTTGGCTTGGTACCTCAGTCCTTAGATCTTAGCCTCCTGAGTAACTAGGATTCCAGGTATGTGCTCTCCCAGTTCCCAGGAAATTTAAAGATATTTCCTATATTGCCATACTCGCTTCCGTTGCCTGTCTGTCTCTCTCCCTAACCCATATTGAGGCTTGAATTTAGGGCCTAGCACTATTTCTCCTGGCTTTCTTGTTCACAGCTGGTAGTCTACTTTTCTTCCCAGTCTGGCTTTGAACTGTGATCCTTCAGGTCTCAGACTTCTCAGTAACTAAGGTTATAGGCATGAGCCGCCAGCACTAGGCTCTCTATTGCTTTTTAAAAGTTTTCTCTTTCTGTGTTTCACATTTATCAATTTACCTAGAATTGATTTTGTGTGTGGTAAGGACTTAAATTCCATTTTACTTTCCATAAAGGTAACCATCTGTGAAAGAGTTATTTGTGTAATGGCAATCCTTAACTATTTGTTGAAGTTAACTTTATGACCTATGGATTTCACCATTGTAGTATGTGTGTGGTTTTCATTTTAAATTCCCTGGTGATGTATGGGGTTGTGTGAGTTTGTTGTGACCTACATTGGCCATTTTTCTAAGAGGCCTTCATACAGTCTTTTCCATACTGTGTCTCTGTCCTAATCTCTTCTTATAAAGATAGCTGACATGTCCTATCAGAATAGGGACCCCCCCTTGTTGGCCCTCCTTTACCTTCTGTGTATGCACTGGCTTCCTTTGCTTTTTCCAAAGAAATTGATTTTATAGAACATTGATAAAAGAAATTGACAAAAACTTTTAATGACTGGAAATAGGTGTTTTTCCTCTTCTAACTTTAAGTTTGATATTTAGGGTTTAGGAGAAGTTTCAGCACAACGTCTGCCTCGTCCCAAAAGGAGATCAACAGGAGAAATGCTTTTGCCAAGTGAGTATTCAGAAGATGTAGGAACAAAACAAAACAAACCACCTTTCAAGATGAACGTGAAGGAATTCTGTGAAGAAAGAGAAGTGGAATTTTGTATCTTGTACGTTGCTTGGTAGAATTTTAACCCAAGTGAGAAAGAGTGATTCTGTATTGAGTTCTTCCTCCCTTCTTTGAAAGCGCAATTAAAAATGTCACAAGTAGCTAAAAATAGCACAGTGCATATATTTTCTCTTCTAAGAGGTTAGTACTTGTTAATAAACATTGGAGGAATTTACATTTTGTGTTTTCATTGAGTAGGGTGGATTCACTTAAACTCCTTACTGAATTAATCAGATTTGATTTAATCTGGCCAGCTATCCATGAAACTAAGACAATCTTACAATTATTTTAAAAATGTAGAATATACTTGCTCAAAAGTATCACCAATTTTGAAAGTTTGACCTTGAGGAATTGAAAGAGTTTAAGGGTATAAAGTTTAACTTCATGCTCCTGTTTATGGAAGATGTTGGAGAATTCTTAGGCAGAATGGAAGAAAAAGAAAGGACACCAGGAAAGAAAGGATTCAGAAGTCAGAGAGGTAGGAAGAATTCCTGTGGAGTGAAGAGCATGGTACATAGACTCCAGGGAAAGAACTTTGTAAAGACTGGGAGCAACAGGTACAAGTTTGCTCAAAAGGATCTGTTCACTCAAGAAAGGAATAGCAGTATTAACTTATTTTCTGTAGCTTCACTAGTACGTGTACAAATTGGCATGAACAACTGTTTAAGAGAAGAGATATACCTTTATGGGTGATATATCATCTTTTTTTTTAATCTCAAGCATTTAATCACAGTGACCAAAAGCTAATTAATACAAGACTGCTTAGAAAAGGATTCATCATTTACTTCTCTTTTTTGCTTTCAATCTTTCAATTATTTTTTTCTTTTTTTAAAATTGAGATTAGGTGGTTACATAAATTTCACATATTTCACAGTATTGGAATAGTGATACTTAGTTAAAGTCACAAACACATTTTAACCTTCACAAGGCAAATTGTCATTATCATGGTCTATAAAGTTTGTGAATTCTGTGAGCTTTGACAACACAGCTATTTCTTCCACATCAGGTGATATTTACATTTCTTTCCTTTTGCTTAGTGTCAGCCGTTCCCTCTTTCCCTCTCATTCCCTCCCTCCCATCGCTGTCTTTGTGTTGCTTAGTTCATTTTCATCTATGTCCAGTGCAGCTGATGGGCCCCTCTGTTGTATGTTTATATCATCAATTGTTACTTTTTACTTTTAGCACCTATGGCCAAAATGTTTGGGGATCACTGATTTAAAAAAACCAAAGACTAATGGTGGTAGTGAGTAGGAAATCTGCCCTTGAACTTAGAGAGGCAGAATGGCGTTTGGACAGCTATGGGTGGAGTTGATTGGTTGTGGTGTTGCTGTAATTTGTACAGAAATAAATGATATTTGCAGAAGAAATGTGGAAAACATAATCAGAGACGATGAAATTGCTGGCTGAGGAACTCAAAGTACTGGGGCAGAAGCCATATTTGCGTCGTATGAGTGAAAAGCTAGAAGAGGGTTATTGTTTTTGTGAAAAAACGGAACCCACACAGGTTCTGATCCTTTAGGAACATTGCAGGATTGGGATGGTAACGATGGCTGCGTTTCATGCGGAGGAAAAGTGATGGGGAAAGATGGGAAGCAACTCTGCCTTCTCATCTGATGCTAATCAAGGCAGTAACAAGGAAAACAAGCCAGAGATTGTGACATAGTCGTCACTGAGGCCTGAAAGGCACGAGGCACACATCCTCTCTTGCACAGTGTCCTGAGCGCTACTAGATGATCTCAGCTCTTCTCCCTGCTACTCAGAACTGATGCCTACAATCCGTATTGGATCCTGCCTGTGGATCCCACCCCCTGGCATGGGGTGAGCTCAAATGTGAGTGCGTTAGGTAGAAACTCTTACAATCCAGTTGCATGGGTTCCATCAATTCCTGTCACATGTTTGCGTTTTCTGTCTTCGAATTCCCCAACACAGTTGAAGTCCAGACACAGGAGGACAGCAGATGGAGGCCTGCGTGGTCCACACTTGTGTATTTTTCCTGCTTTATTTCATGGCAATAGCTTCACAAGGGACTGTAACTCTCAGAATTCTGTGTGCATTAAAAAAAATGCATTTCCATTCAGACTAATAGTGATTTTTTTTTTCTCCCCTAATGCTCCTGGCTTCTCCTTTCTGTCTGCCTCTCTCTGGCTGGCCTAACTATCACTTTCCACTCAAGTGCCTTCCCTAAGGCGTAAGAGGGGAGAGATTCCATTTTCTTTTTCTGCACACTCTTCACCTTATACTGTCTTTATTGTAGCTTATAACACCGTGCTGACGGTTACATACACATTTCCAGAGATTAATCCCATGCCTGCCATTTCGTAGGTAGCCAATAAGAGTCATGGGACGATTAAACAGAGTTCTCAAATATACTGTGACTCTAAGCTGCACAATTCGCTGGGCTTTTGAGCTTTAAAATACTTCAATTAAAATCATGATCATTTAACACATTGTGTAGTTTACCTATACCATTATTTTTTTGATTTAGATATTGAATTCACCTACTGGTTTCTCTTTCTATAAACTTTTTCTGGTTTATGAAAGTTGATGGTACAATATTTGAAAAATTAAATGATAACTGAATGTGACAAAGGTCACCTATAACTTTGTCTCCTGGATGAGATGATTGCTAATAACATTCTGCTTTATACTTTTTCATGTTTTTCCCCTAACAGATGTGTGAATTTTCTATCTGAGCTGATGAATCATATTCTGTATGCCATTAAGAATGCTTTTTCACTTAATATATCATGAACATAATTTCATAATCTTTTTTGTGTTGTTGTTGTTGGTTGTGGGGCTTGAATTTGCCGGGGCGCTGTCCCTCAGCTCTTCAGCTGAAAGCTAGCTCTCTACCACTTGAGCCACAGTGTCACTTCCAGTTTTCTGGTAGTTTACTGGAGATAAGAGTCTCACGGACTTTCCTGCCTGGACTGGCTTTGAACTGTGATCCTCAGATCTCAGCCTCCTGAGTAGCTAGGATTACAGGCGTGAGCCACTAGTGCCTGGCTTCTCATAATCTTTAGTAGTACTTTTCCTCAACAACGTTTGCACTATTTTGTAATACTACTCTGTGATATGAAAACATTTTTATCATTATAATAAGTGAAAAAATAATTTAAATAAAAATAAATGCCAGACCTTTTTGTAAAAAAATATACTTTATTGTTATTAGAGAGGTGATGTACAGAGGGGTTACATAAATTAGGTAATGAGTACGTTTCTTTTTTTTTTTTTTGGTCCAGTTGTGAGGCCTGAACTCTGGGCCTGGGCACTGTCCCTCAGCTCTTCAGCTCAAGACTAGCGCTCTACCACTTGAGCCACAGTGCCACTTCCGGCTTTTTTCTTTTTGCTTATATGGTGCTGAGGAATCAAACCCAGGGCCTCAGGCATGCAAGGCAAGCACGCTACCACTGAGCCACCTTCCCAGCCCTGAGTACGTTTCTTTTTGAACCATATTACCACTTCCCTCCCTCTCTGCTTTTTTTCCCCCCTCCAGTTCCCACCCACAAGTTGTAAGGTTCATTTTCCACATAGTGTCTAGTGAGTGCCACTGTTATATTTGTTCATTCTTTGTCCTACTTTTTCTGTGCTGCCCCCTTACCATCCCAAAGACAAATAAGCTAATAAGGCAAAAGCAAAAAACAGCAGCAACAACAATAAAACCCTCCTGTTTCCATTTCTTAGAGTTCATTTAAAAATATGCACAAAATCATATGCATATAGCTCTTGAGCCTTTGTGATCTGTTCCTATGAATAACCTCCTTTGGTCTCACTGTGTGAATGTTTAGAGACCTGTATATTTTATCATGCCCTAGTGTATTTTTTTCTTTTACCATCCAGTGTGTTGACTTGTAGGCACATTCTAGTTACCACAAACAAGGAAAACTATGTAACCTGTTTCTTTGGGTCTGGCTTATTTCACTTAATATAGTTTTTTCCAAGTCTTTCCATTTCCTTATGAATGGTGTCATCATTCTTTCTGATGGATGAGCAGAATTCCATTGTGTATATATACCACATTTTCTTTATCCATTTGTCCACTGAAGGATTCCAGACTTTAAAACATGAATCTCTTCCTCTTCCTCTCGTTACCTTGTGTTTGTATGATTGATATAGGGCAAATATGCAGGTTTATTTTCTTCAAGATTTTTATTTATTTATTTATTTATTTTTTTGGGTCCGGTCGTGGGGCCTGAACTCTGGGCCTGGGCGCTGTCCCTCAGCTCTTCAGCTCAAGGCTAGCACTCTACCACTTGAGCCACAGTGCCACTTCCTTTTTTTTTTTTTTTTTCCTTTTTGCTTATGTGGTGCTGAGGAATCGAACCCAGGGCCTCAGGCATGCAAGGCAAGCGCTCTACCACTGAGCCACCTTCCCAGCCCAAGGTTTTTTTTTTTTAAAGAAAATTTATATACCAACATTATTTATGAGATTGCAAAAAATCCATCTGTGTGAATCTAGAAAATTAACAAATAGCATTAATTTCTTGGATTTTGGCATATGAGTGTAAGAATTACATTTATCTCAATTAATTTTTACAGCATCCATAGTTCAGTGCTAACTTCTTTCTCATGGCTTTGAAGTTTTACTTTTTATCATACATCAAGTAATTATGTGTGTTTTATATTTTTCTAAAATACCTTTCCTGGCTAATATAAATCTTGTTCATGAGCACATTGTCTTAATTTCTGTAACTTTATAATTTAACACAATGGTACCTTCAGTCTTGCTTTGACATTATCACTCAACATACTAGTACCTGTTATGGTTGTGACCTGTTACGGTTTGGACCTCTTGGATCTGACGCCAACAGCTTAGCTTTTCTGAGCTTGTGGTAATTCTTCTGAAGGAGGTCATAAGACCTCTGCTACTCTTTGAATGAGGCAGAATGAGGTAATGCATGTGATCAAGCATTATGAACATAGTAAGTGCTCAGGAAGAGATAGTTTAGTCATTCATCATGCAAAATTATGGTAATTTTGTGAGATTGCAAAAAATTGTCCATTTGGTGTGAATTTAGAAAAACCAACAAATTGATGTTATCTAAGAATAGGAACATTTTTCTTTTGTGTATTTAGTAAATATTTCTGCTTTTTTTTACAGATACTATATATTTCTATGTTAAATTTATTGTTTTGTGCATGGTATAATAATGATTTTTTGTGTGTGTCAGTTCTGGGTCTTGAACTTAGGGCCCAAGCTTTCTCCCTGAGCTGTTTTTTTTCTCTCCTTTAACTTGAGCCACAGCTCCACATCTGGCTTTTTTTTTATTTTTTGGTGGTTAATTGGAAATTAGAGTCTCACAGTCTCTATTCAAACTTGGCTTCTACCCATAATCCTCAGATCTCAACCTATTGAGTAGCTAGGATTACAGATGTGAGCATCAGTGCTGGGCTATAGTAATGATTGTTGAAGTATTTTCTAATTAGAATTTTATCTGTTATTAGCAAGCGTGGCTTAGAGTAAATCTCTGAGCCTTAGATTCCTATCCATGAGGTTAAAGCCTTCTTGATTTCATTCAGGGTGGGTGACAGAAAGACAGGAACAAATGAGGTATTCTGTATTGTGATGGTATAACTAAAAATATAGAAAATGTAATAGAACTTAAGTGTGACCCCAGGTTCTGTTCTCAGTCAGGTCTCTGCAGTTTGAACAGCAGGTGTTAGTGTCTGTGGTGGGGAAGGAGTGAAGGGCTTCTTTCTGTTTCTGTTTTGTTTTGTGGGAGGAGAGCTACCTTGGGACCTGGGTGGAAGACTCCAGGTAGCATCAGTGGTTCTAGGTAAGCTCTCTGGAGGGTCTCAGGTCAGAGGGCACTGTGGGTGACTATCAGGATGGTTACTTCCAGTTTACAATCCAGGGCGCTGTGGGGGAGGTTGTGGCTTTGACTTGGGACGAATTCACCGGCAAGTCCTGCATGTTACAGGGTCAGGTAGGTGGTGAGTACTTAGAAGGGATCTATGGAACACCAAGTAAATATTATATTGTAGGGAAAGGAAATGCATTGCAGGGCAGTTCAGGGCCCTCAGACCCATTTGGTGTTGGTGGGAGGGGGTGGGCAGCTGGCGTTCAGACAAGAGAGATCTATACCCAGGGCCGTCTGTGTTTCCCCACTGCACTTATTCCCCAAAGGTGTAGATTTAACTTTTTTTTTAACCATTAGTTTTCATATAAAGAATTACATTTGCATTAAACAAACGGTAATTTTTATTTCCCATAGTAAAAAGGCTAGTTTCATTTCCTCTTGCTTTATTTTTAATATTGATAGTAGTCACCTATGTTTGCCATTCCCAGTTGCTTTTTCAATGAAAGCACGCGTGTGTGTGTGTGTGTGTGTGTGTGTGTGTGTGTATCAAGCAGTGTACATTTAAAATCCAGGTCAGGGCGGGATTAAAACAGACAAAAGAGAAAAAAAATGTTATTCTAAGAGTGCCATTTAGAATTTACTAAAAACAAGTTAGGATCATAAAGCATTTGGTGTCTTAGGATAACGAGTTCCGCCTCTGGTTGTGGACAGGGAGGTGGATTTTGTGTCTAAGGACCTGTTCTTGCTCCCCCCCCCCCTCCCCCCGCCTCTCCCCCCCCCCCTCCCCCGCCCCTCCCCGGGCAGGTCGCGGACGGCTCTGCGGCGCAGCTGGAGCAGCGCCACCGCGTCGGGCGGGCTGGAGGGCGGCGTGAAGCTGCAGGAGGGCGCGCAGGTCCTGCTCACCAGCTCCAATGAGATGGCCACCGTTAGGTACCTGGGCCCCACCGACTTCGCTGCAGGCATCTGGCTGGGACTGGAGCTCCGGAGCGCCAAAGGGAAAAACGATGGCGCCGTGGGTGACAAACGCTACTTCACTTGCAAACCAAACCATGGAGTCCTCGTGAGGCCCAGCAGGGTGACCTACCGAGGGATTAATGGGTCAAAGCTGGTGGATGAGAACTGTTGACTTAGAGTTCTAGAGAGTTTGATGACAGTGTGTGTGGGTGTGTACACACACATATGCACACTCACATGCACATACACATGCACACACATGCACATACATATGCACACACATGCACATGCATACATATGTATAGTATAAAATACAGTCTATGGCTAATGGCTGCTTTATCTAGTTCAACTAGCCATTATTTAAAAAAGGTATAATTACCGTCCTAAAAACCATTATTGTAATTAAGAAAGAGTCTGTAGGTCACAAATAGGAACTTTGAAAAATCATGGTTCTTTTAAATGCAATTTCAAAACTAAAAAAAAGCACTTTTAAAAAGCTTTAAAAGCTTGATGTCCCAGGAAAATCCTGGAACTTTTTTTTCCCCCCAAAAGACAGAAAAACACCCTGCTAGGTGATGGGCCGATTTTCCTCCTATGTTTTTCGTGCACATGATGTTGGAGTCTCCCCAGTGCTGTAATTGTGAAAAGATGTTCTGCATGCCCTCTTCCTGTCAAGTGTTTTTGGACTTTTTCTTTCTGTCTGTGCGTTGTTTGTAATAAGTGTTTTAAGGGAATGGTAACTTGGTGCCTGGTGTGTGTTTTTTTTTTTTCTTCTATTTTGTGGTTGTCACTTGTGCTTTGAGGAAAGGCTCATGGAAAGCTGTGTTAGACTTTGAGTGGTGAATGAACTGTCTGGCTCTACTTCTCACCTAATTGCCAAATAGCCAGCTAACTAGTTGGTTAACAGAACTAAGACTAAATGGGGGATGGTTTCCTAACTTTTAGCTCAGAACTCTGTTCCTCTGTGTAGCGTGATATTTTCATTCTTGTTGGTCAACCGTCTCGTGTATGAACTACAAACCACCAATATTAAGATTTATGAATTTTTGCACATACTTATTTTATTTCTTCATTGGATTTATCTATAACACAAACACATAGCACTTTTTAAAACATGATGCTACTGGTACAGTGCTCATGCCTGGGATCCCAGCTGTGTGGGAAGTTGAGATTGAGAAGATAAGGGTTCGAGGCCAGCTTGGGCAAAAAGTCGACCAGACACCATCTCAACCAATAAAAAGCTTGGTTTGATATTATACTTGGCATCTCAGCAATGTAGGAAGAATAAATCAGAGAATGGTGTGCCAGGCTATCCTTGGCATTAATGCAAGACCCTTTTCTGAAAAATAATGAAAACAAAAAGGGTTAGGGGCATGGACTCAAGGGGTAGAGCACCTGCCTAGCAAGTGCAGGGCCCTGGGTTCAAACCTTAGTGTCACCAAAAAAATAAAAATAAAATAGATAAATATAAGATGCACTTTCACCTTTTGGAGATATAAAGGGCATTTTGTATTTGGTTATTTGTGTAAATGTTCATGTTTTTTGAACTTTTCATTCTGGTGTGTTTGCTGTGGTCACTGTTTTCTGTTTCTAGTGTTGGGAGAGTTTGGCGGTTATAAGACTGCTGAATTTTGTTGTGTTTTCATTTCTCTTCCTGAGCACATGTTAACAAACTAGGCTTCATAACAGTGATGTAACCTTGTCTCGTTGATGTATATTGAAACTTCTGTCCTATATGTGTAAAGATTTATCTTTTATTGTAAATATTTAGACCTAAATCTACTACTGAAATATTGGAACAGTTTGCTTTATAAGATTAAAAGTATCCTTCAGAATGGAGCTTGCTTTGTGCTTAGAAATATAACAGGCTGAACTATTTTGCAATATATGGTTTTAAATCAAAATTCTGTCACTTGGTTGCCTTTTTTTTTTGAGTGTGGTATTTCAAATACTGTTAGACTTATTTTCCTGAAATGCACTTGCAAAATAAGGCTGCTTTATAACCAAGGAATATTTTTATTGAATGAAGAAAATGACTGTGCTATGATTCAAAGTAAACTTATTTTATTATATAGATTATTTCTTTAAAAACTATTTATACCTTAATATGAAATCCATGAGTAGAATGAACTTGAGTGACCATAATTCTTCCCATTAAATATAAAACAGTGTAAGTTAGAAAGTCATGCCAATGCTGAGTGGATTTTGGAGGTTAAAAAAAAAACCAACCCACAATTGTTCTCTTCATATTTAGATTAGGATGATTAAATCCATGTCATGTGTATGTTTACATAAACTATCCATACAAATCAGTGTTTTCATTTGTATTTCGCCACTGAAATGAAATTAAATGCCACTGAACGTTTACTTCTTGAGCATTAATAAAAGGGAAGCTGTCTGGTTTTGCATAGCAGTGTGTCATTTACCCTGTCTGCAGCTCTCTCTTTTTTCCAGGAGTCAGGGGCCATGTGCTCTGAGCTTCCCTATTTCATAGAAATGCTTAGATTTATTTCATCCTGTAAAGGATCTTTAAAAAGTACCATGCATTTTATTCAATGAGTAAAACAGTGCCTTTTAGCCACACTCCTGTTACATTCTGATGGGCAGAGTCATTTAATGACGAGTTTCTACAGTTCTGTAAGATTGATTACCTATTTCATACAGGTTGGACATTTTATACAGACTGAAACATGACACATTGAATTTAGATAAAATAGAATCGTCTACTGTTAAGAAGCTTTGTATATTTCAGGGCAATCAAAGGTGGGTAATTTTAAGTGATGGCTGGGTATGGGCAGGTAAGAATGATGTCTTGGTATGCACCCTTCTTCCAGAAGCTCCTTATACCCTTCATGTTTTATGTTCCCCCTTAGGGTTTGCCACCCTTGGTGGTGTGCAAGTTTTTGCTTATCATTTCTCTGCATCGATCAAGGGCTGGGAATCTACCACGGTTATGCTCATTACTATATTCCACTACTGCAAATCATACGTTGGCCTCTGGTAGATGCTGAGCAGACGTTTGTGGAACAGAGGCATTGACAATTTAAAACATTGACACTACTTAGCTAGCATCAGATAGGTGACCTTGAGAGCCTAGCGTGGGACAGGAATATTGTATCAGTCAAGGGAGGAAAGAGGACTAGAAATGTTTGAATCCAGAGTCTCAGCTTTACCTCCAAGAACAACAGGCAAAAGATAAAATGAGGCTGAGCAACTAGAGGAGGGAAGAGGCAGAAGATATAGCTCCTGAAGTGACTTCCTTCTGTTTTACTGCGACTGACCTTGAATTTCTGTTTTGATATGGTGATAATTCCCAAACATGGAAATATATGTGGTGTCATATGGAGAGAGTGAACTGGATTGTACCCAAGTGCTCACAGCATTGGTCTCCAGTACTTAATATGTTCATTTTGGGACTATCTATTAGAATGTGCAGTAATATTATTTAAATTATATTGGCCAATGTTAAGACTCATTCTTTGTTGCTAAGCAGATCTAGTCATTTTAACCAGTCATTGAATGTTTCTTCTCTAAATTATAGACTCAGAGACATGTATGTGTTACCACATTGCAAGCCAAAAGAATTTATTAATCTTCATGTCCTTTGTTTCATTGAACTTATTTGTAAAACGGGTACAGTAGTTAATATAAAACTCACAGTCCCACACCTATTTTTAGTAATTGTATATTGATATCCCTAGGTACATAGATTTTTTTTTAGCAGTGTTGCATAAGCTCCTTAATAAACAACATTCCTAAGAAGCTTGTGAATAGACTGACCAAGTACCATTTGTGTGACTTATTGAGATTTTGTAATAGTGGAATATGATGCCTTCCCATAGGCAAACATGATTTTGAGCTAGGCACCAGTGGCTCATGGCTGTAATCCTAGCTACATCAGGAGGAGGATCAATATTCCAAGGCAGCCCAGGCAGGAAAGTCTGAGATTCTTACCTCCGATTAACCACCAGACAAACGGGAAGTGGAAGTGTGGCACAGTGCAAGCTTTGAGTGGAAAAATCCAACTGAGTGAGCCCTGGGTTCAACCCCAGAACACGTGCATGGGCACAGGCACACGCGTGTGTGCACACACGCGCGCACACACAGATTTTATTTCCACCACTATTGTTGCAGATGCTCCTTTGTCATAAAGTACATATGGTGAATTTGATGATTATAAGTGTATGTTGAGGAGGTGTAAGAAGCTTTGAGTTAGGTAAAGGTTTTTTTTTTTAAGCTGCTCCCGGAGCTTGAACTCAGGGCCTGGTCTCTGTCCCTGAACCTCTGTGTTCAAGGCAAGCTCTCTACCACTTGAGCCACATTGCCACTTCTGGCTTTTTCTGAGTAGTTTACTGGCGATAAATGTCTCACTGACTTTTCTGCCTGTGCTGGCTTTGAACTGGGATCCTCAGATCTCAGCCTCCTGAGTAACTAGGATTACAGGCATGAGCCACCTGTGCTTGGCTAAGATTTTAAAAGTGTTTTTTATTGAAGCTCTTAGCTTGATATGTAACCTGTTCTTAATGACCACCAGTGCCTTTTTAAAAATGCTCATAAATCAGGTGTTGGTTCAGCTCTAAAATCCTAAATGAACCTAGACACATGAGACTGTTGCTATATAGATAATTGCGTTCACATTTACCTCTATAGATTTCTTTGTCAAGAAGAATTTGGTGTTGGAGTTGGCTGTTGGTCAGGGTTGTTTCAACTGGCTAAAAAATCCAGAATTCTACCTATTTGCTCTGTGTTGAATTTGAATTGTAGGCATTTCTGAAGTGTGACAGCTATGCTATGTTGTCCTTGACCCATGTCAAGGTTAAATTCTTTCAGATCTACCCTAATAAGGTTCTTCACAGCTTTCCTCAAAGTAGAACGACCTCATTGATGAACTAATTATTTCTCACATAACAAATCAAATCAGACTGACATGGAACTGAACCATGTTAAAATTTCATGTATAGCTTCAAGCCTTTCTATTCTTTCTTCTTCCTCCTCCTCCTTCTTGTCATTTGATTTCTGAGATCATCAGAAGCTCAGTTAACAGTATTAATGACTTTAGCTGCCCTGATGGTTCGTGTTATGAAGTATGGGTGTCACTAATATCTTTGGGGAAAAAAATGTCCCCAAATGGATTTTAAGAGCCTACAAGTCTTTATTGATGGCAGGGAAGTAGATTTTACCTTGTAGCAATACAGAGCATTATTTAAAGCAGAAGAGAAATGTGAAAGCGTCTATTCACCTTTAAAAAAATTCTAATAAAAATTGGTTTCTAGTAAGAATAGTAATATACGCTGCATATCATTTAAAATATTCTGTTTCCAAGTTTTTTTTCTATTCCATGAAAGGAACAACATTAGAAAATACATAGCCTGAGATTCTGTAGCCACACTCCATATGGCTTGATGTGTGACAAAGGAAAAGCTGGTGTCACTTCTGTTTTAGTTTCTTCCCCATCACCACTGCTTATAAGTGCATACATGAGGATAACCAGTTTCTTCTGTCTTTAAAGGCATTTCTTTTGAGAACTTTGAAATAGTGTGTAAATATTACCTTGCAAATAATGCAAACAAAGATGGAAATATTTAAACACCAGTTATTTCATGATTTAGGAAGTTTGCCATGGTTCTTACAATCACATCTTGGTGAGCCGTTTGAAATGGTTATTCTTTCGGATTCCCTAATTTCCAGATCTATTGTCAAGCTGTGTTATTTGGGACTGATTTTTAAAATTTTTGACTGTCATCCAATGGCAGTGACTATCTCTGTGAACTTGCAGAGATTCTCTCTAATCCTGGGGTATTTGGGAGAGAAGACTCTTCAACAGGTTCCCCAACATGAAAGCATTTGGCCACACTTGTTGAGGAGTGCCAGAATCTATGCATCTGGTACCAGCCTTTAGCTCTTTCTGGTCTTTGCCGCCTTACATTACTCTGCTGATTAAGGGCTGAGTATTGAGGTTTACCTGACAAAAGTGAAGCTTTCTGGAATTACACATTTTACAATTGAGAGAGACCTCTGAGATCAAGTTTTTAATTTTTTTAACGAGAAAATGATCAGTAACTTGCCTGACTTACCTTGTGAAGTGATCATAGTCTAGTCACGAATCTCTTAAGTCCTGCTTGTTCATCTGTTTACTATTTCTCAAGTAGTTGTGAGCACTAAACCATCCCAGAAGACATTATCATCTGGAATTTTATGAAAGCAATATTCATCTATATTTGGCAAATAACACCTCTTTCAATTCAAATATGGTAGGGAGAGTTGATATCCTAAGTGCTAATGCTTAGTGTTAGTTCAGCAAGACTATCTTTTAACGAACACCAGCTGAAGTGAACTTAGCCAAGGAGCGTTCAGCAGTGGAAAGATAATTGTAAACGGTTGCCTACAGGGAAGCAGAAGGCTTTCACAGACGGATGGAGAGAGTGCAAGGCTGTAGGAAGTGGGTGTGGGAAGGCACTACTAGGTTTGACTGGCAAATACCCACAGCACACGTGAAGGTAGCATACTTGTTTAACATGTTATATAGAACAGACAATACTGCTTGAGTTCATGGAACTGGCCTTTCCCAAGTAATTGTATGTAATAGTCTATTCCTATCAAACTTTTCAAATGTTTCAAACTTTCTTAATTGGAGCTAAATAGTTTTGGACTTGAAGAAGGTGCTAAAAATTAAATATACCTTCTCAGGATTGTAATAACGTGACTCTGTTCCCAGTGGTCTCTTTTTTTATTTCAGGACATCATGTTCAGGAATTCAGGACTGCTGGTGTGGTATTGTGTGTTAACACAACACCAGGGACCATCTGCTGCTGTGAAATTAGCAGTCAAATGTGTGGGTTCTTTAGGGACTCATTTAGAAAATCATTAGCTAAAGACAGATTGACAACACACTTCATACAATTTTATGAATCTTGTCATAGGAAGTCTATTATTTGGAGTAGTCTGAATTCATATGCATCTTGTTTCAGGTCTTTGCAGCTCAAAGGGATTTGAATACTGCTATATTCCTGGAGAAAAACAATCTATTAAAATAGCCTAGTCATTAGAATTTCCTAGAGGTGCACCTTATGCATTTGGGTACAAAAGCCCCACATTTTAAAGGATAAAGTGTAATCTGCAGTTACCTCGTATTTTACAACCTTAGGGTTTGTCAAGTATTCCATGGAGATGCTGAGTTTTTAAGAGAATTATGCACATATTACCATGCTTATTTTTGACACTTAAAATGTAGTTCTAAGAGTGGTAGAATCTTTCCCTTTTTCTGCTGTGTGGGAGAGCAGGCATTTACAGGCACTGGTGAACACCTCGCATTTGAGGGGTAGAGAGCGGTTTCTACAGTGTATGCTATCTTTCAAGGGTAGGGAGGAAGGGAACTTACTGTCTTTCTCTTTGGTGTGGAAGTACCATCCA